CCATGTGAGGCCACCAAAAATCCCGTGCAACTAGCTCATAGGTTTTCGCAATGCCGAAGTGACCAGCAGTCGGGCTATCGTGGCACGCCATCAGGACCAACCTTCGAGCATCACCTTCAGGAACGTAAAGCTGCTCCCCACGGTACAATAAGCCATCTAAGAACTTGAACTCGTCAAATCGCCGGCAGTCGGGAGTCACTGGGTGTTCAGCCTGAAGATGGGGGAAAATGTCGCTAGCGAGATCATCGGATTGAAGATCGTTTCTGATTGCATCCATCAAGGAGGAGTACTGACTTAACGTTTAAAGGTGTTTTTCTTCTCTTCTTCTTCTTCTTCTTCTTCTTCTTCTTCTTCTTCTTCACCTAAATTGCCATAACTTGAAGCCAATCAGGACCGAGGATAACTTGATCCTGTTGATCGAAGGCAGAATTACCAGGCCTGAGACTAAGATAGGAGCGCCTTGAAAGAGCATCAGGAAGGCCTTGAAACTTTCCAGGTCTGTACTTGATAACAAAGTCAAACCGACTCAAGAATTGTGCCCACCTTGCTTGACGACGGCTTAAAACTCGGGAAGTGGCAAAGTACTCGAGATTTTTGTGATCCATCCAGACTGTTGTTTGATGGCTCGCCCCCTCCAAGAAACGGCGCCACTCTCCAAAGGAATCCACGATGGCAAAGAGCTCCTTGTCATGGATTTCGTAATTGATCTCCGCAGGCTGGAATTTCCGAGAATGGAAAGCGACCGGATGAAGTTCGTGATCCGCTCCGAGTTGAGACAGCACAGCACCAATGGCAAAGTCGGAGGCGTCAGCCTCGATGAAGAAAGGTTGTGAGGAATCAGCATGGATCAAGACAAGAGCAGAACTGAAGGCCGCCTTGAGTGTGTCGAAGGCCTGCTGGGCAGCAGCAGACCAAGAGAAGGGAACATCCTTGCGAGTGAGATGTGTGAGAGGAAGGACAATGTCAGAGTCGTGATCAATGAATTTGCGGTAGAAGTTGGCGAAGCCAAGGAAAACCTGAACATCCGACATTGATTGTGGAGGCTCCCATTCGAGAATAGTCTTGACTTTGGCAGGATCCATCGTGATACCCTCAGGAGTGACAATGTACCCAAGGAACTCCACAGGCTGCTGATCAAAGGAACATTTCTCAAGCTTCGCGTATAGGCCGTGTTCTTGCAGCTTCGCTAGCACCTTGCAAACATGTTCGTCATGCTCCTCCTGAGTTTTTGAGTAGATGAGGATGTCATCGAGATAGACGATCACCATCTGATCAAGAAACCCCCGAAAGACGTCGTTCGCCATGTGTTGGAAAACTGCTGGAGCATTTGTCAAGCCAAATGGCATGACAGTGTACTCGAAGTGGCCATAGCGGGTTCGGAACACAGTCTTCCATTCATCACCAGGCCGGATCCGGATCAGGTTGTATGCTCCACGGAGGTCGATCTTGGTGAAGAAGCGGGCACCGCCGAGGCGTTCCAACAGGTCCGAGATCAGGGGCAGCGGATAACGGTTTCGAACAGTCACCTTGTTCAAACCTTGGTAGTCGATGACTAGCCGCAAGCTCCCATCCTTCTTCTTGACAAAGAAGACAAGCGCTCCAGCCAGGGACTGCGAATGTTGAATGTAGCCCGAGGCAAGGTTCTCATCCACGTACTCTTTGAGGGCCTTAAGCTCGGACGGGGATAACCCATAGATAGGCCCCCATGGAGGTGACGCTCCTTCCTGTAAATCAATGGAACAATCATAAGGCCGATGAACAGGCAGTACACTAGCTTTTTTCTTGTCAAACACATCCCCAAAATCATGATACTTCTCAGGAAGACTGACAGGAGAAACATGCAAAGCAAAAAGAAAAAGAGGTTCTTCATGAAGGAGTTCTTTCATAGTGATTGTGGAGATAGGAGGAGGCGTACGACTAAATGGAATGATGAGACGAGAATACGTTCCAGTGTAAGATGGAAGAGAGGAAAAAGAAGAGGGTGAAAACTTTATAGAGTCAGGAACAGAACCCCGATTTGAGTTTAGGGAACTTTTCCTGATTCGAACTCGATGAACAGCAGGGGAAGCCGTGGGAGAGATGAACTGTAATTCCTTCCAACAGATCTGAGGCTGATGTAGTTGGAACCAAGGAAGACCGAGCACCACAGAGGAGGACTTGCTATTGATGATGTTGAAGGTGATATCGGTGACGGTGGACCCGATGTGTACTCGAATGGGCAACGTTTCCCTAAGTCCAGAAGATGGAGACACAAAATGCCTGCCGATGCCTTCAACCCTCAAATCTCGTATGGTAGGAGAAAGAGGAACATGATGTCGGGCAGCAAAGTCCGTGTCCATGAAGCAGGAAGTTGCACCCGAGTCCAATAATGCCAGAGCTTTGAGTCCTGATTGTCCGGTGAAAGAAAGGAGACATGGGATGCGGAAGTTGCGGGAATTGGTGGTGGCTTTGATGAAAGGTGGTGAGGAGCTTGATAAAGAAGAAAAGTGATTTTTATTCGAGGAGTCCAAACAGACAGCTCCTACTCTGTTTGGACAGGGTCGTTTCCCGACTGCAATAGAGGTGGACTTTGAGGCAGAGTGAACTCGAGCAGTCGAGGAGGCTTCTTGGGATATACAATTGCTTTGTGATTAGGATCAGCACAATAGAGGTAAAGATTATGAGATATTCGACGTTGCTTCTCAGCAGGACTCAACTTCCCTCTAATGAGTCGGGGAGTACCAGAAATATCCATTGGAACCGGAGCAGTAGGTTCAAGAGTATGCCCCGAAGACTCAAGCTGGGATTCCTGAGTCTAGGACGGAAAAACAGCGGCGTGGCGACTTTCCTGACGACGTTCAAAGAGACGATTGTCACATCGAACAGCTTTGTTGATGGCATCCGATAGGTCCTTGGGATCCTCCATGGTGAGCAACAAATCCTTGACACCGTTGTTGAGGCCGAAACGAAATTGGTCAATTAGGGCCCGCTCATCCCACTGAGTGTCCAAAGCAAGGAGTTGGAACTCTGCAGCATAGATCAAGGCAGGACGAGACCCCTGAGAGAGATGTCTCATCTTTGTGGTAGCAGCCCAAACCCGATCCGTCTCGCCAAAACATGCTTCGAGCTTCTCTTTGAACAATTGAAGATCCATCAGCTCTGGAACCACGACCCCTTTCATGCTCTTCTCCAGAAGAGGAGAAAACCATGACAAAGCTGCACCTTCGAGCAACGTCCCAATCGCGCCGATTTGAGACTCGAGAGTAGGGTACCGCCGATGTTGAAGTGCGAAGATCAACTCCATCTGGTTCAGGAATCTGCGAAGCTCCGAACACTTGCCTGAAAATTTCGCCGGGAAGCTCACCTTCGGTTCAGGAACTTTGCTGGATCCTTGAGCCGAAAGTGAAGCAAGCTCCTGCTGCATGCGAAGAAGGGTCGCCTTCAGCTCGGTATTCTCAGACTGGATTTTTGCAAGGACTTCAGCAAAGAAATTAGGATGGCTTGGAGACTCCATTGGCAAGAAGAAAGAAAAGAAAGGGGGAAAAAGACAAAGGCAATCAAATAATCAAAGCGAGCTAAAAAAAAAGCAAAAACCACAATCTGAATCAAACTGTCAAGATCCTCAACAAGATCAAGACTGGAAAATGCTAAAAACAAAGAGAAAAAGCTAGTGAAAACAAAGAAAAGGCTTTAGACTGGTGTTGATTCAGATTGTGGAGAAATGGAACAAGGCTAACCTATATATACTATAGGTTGATGAAGCTCCACCACTCTTGGATCGAGGACGGCCTAAATATAGCTGAGGTCGAGGAGGCGCCACATCATCATCAGGAATGTGGCTCGAGACTCAGGAATCGGGAAGTGTCTCGAGAGTCAGGAATGTGGTCTACAGGTTAGGAATCCGGCGAGAGTCAGGAATGTGGCAAGAATTGGGGGATTCCTAACAGGTTTCAACTTCCATCCAAACTCCATTTCAAACTCCATATTAGACTCCATCTTGAGTCCATCTTGAATTCCACCTCAGACTCAAATTCCATCTCAAACTCCTTTTCAAACTTGGTCTTAACACTTCAATGTGTTATGACATTTACTATATGTCAGTCTTTCTTGTGTCCCTTTTTAAAGACTCATTCATCAATTATTTCATACTCATTTCTTAGGCACTTTATTAGGAGTTCCATTTGCACTCTTGACTTTCCGAGTTGAAACTTTTGGTCTAAATATATTATGCTCATTAGACTTCTACTTTAACCACTACTATATAACACACTTTTGGCTCCACTTTAAGGCTTAAAGATTTGTGTCTCATAAGGAGAATATCACAAATATAAGATAAATATAAAATAGGAATTTTTATGTATTTTTTGCTAAGGATATTTAATCTTGTAATCATACCTTATATGTTAATCATATTAGGGGAATATCCATATCCTCCTATGCACTTTTGAATTTGCACTCATATAGCCTAGTATTACTCATTAAATCTCTCAAGGCATTCAACCAATTGGAAAATGAATGCATTTTTTATTCATGTCTCTCTATATTTGAACCCTAATAAATTGTCTTTTAAATTATTCTCTTTAATTATTTACATCTTGGAATTGAAATGCTAGATATTCTAGGAATTTCTAATATCCTCCTTTACTCCTTAACTTGACACTCTATATTTTTTTTTCTTTTGCTCTTTATCTATATGCTCAAGAATTCAATCTATCCCTTTGTTTAATGGCCCTAAAACTTAAATCTTGTTTCATTATGTCTAAGGGTTATGTTTTACTCCATGGTTATCCTATAATAAGCTACTATAGGGTACATTACACTCACACTCAAGGTGTATTTGACTCCAAATTGACTTCAAATCAACTTACAACTCACCCAATGCAAAAAATATATATTAAGTTCAAGAATGGTAGCAAGTATTGCCACAAATGAGTTGTAATAAGTGTGCCTGTATGAGAGCTTAGGTTTGTGAGAGGATCAATCAAGGATGCTTTTGGCTATGAAAGAGAAAAGGCAAGCTATTGTACACTAATTTTTTCACATTAATGAGTTAAGTTTTTAACACTGGAAACATTTTGCAAACCATCCAAATTTTTCCACCTTGTGCATTAGATTGTGCATGCTTGCCCAGGAACCAAAGCCTATGCCTATGATTCCAACCCAAATAACCAATCCAAGGTTGATGCAATAAACACCCACCCAACTCTTGATCCAAAATGGTGGTTGCTCTACCGCATTCTGAAATCAAATTTTTTGATATGGACAGAAAAGTGTGGCTTGTACCTCTCTTGATTCTTTGTGCTGCCTTATTACCATGAAAGCAAGGCATGGGAGAATATATATGCCAATGCTGGAGAGCGTAGCACCCACCACTGAGTTGATAGAACCAAAGAATGGAAGCATAATAGCAAGAAAACAAATGCCCAACACAATTGGCATCCTGGCTACACACTTTAAGGTGTAGTTTTGGGAGCAGTGGATGCCTAGTAATTTCTCCCACATTGCAAATACTGGAACCACAAGTGCAGCAAACTCAATGAACTGCAAGAAAATAAAAGATTAAATGTTAAGATTATCATTGAGATTTTAAGTCCACCTGATGGGTAAGCATAAGGATGATAGCTACATTTTTGAACTTGGATGGGGAAAACACTGCTAGGGCATTTGGATGATCGAGCATTTGATCACCAAATCTCCAATACACACTCACTGCAGATGGGAGTGTAAGTGTGAAGGTATAAAGGATTGCATACACATTGGTTGTCTTGTATTTTCTTGGTGTATCCATAGCTTCAGCAATCTCTCTGAAAGCTGAAACTTAATAGCACTGAAGTAGATCATATTGAACTTACAGTGTCAAAGCATGGTTACCAAATGTAAATAGAATATTTGTAGCACCTGAAAAATATTGAATTGTACTTACTGGAGCTGAATGTTGCACATGCTTATCATGCTGTGAAAGTTATTAAATTTAAAATATTGATAAAGCTAAGACATACCTTTTCAAAAAATATCGATGCAATAGTGAAATACCAAGCTGTATAAGTTGTCATGAATATGCCAAAAAACACCCAAAGTCTATAATTCCGTGCTGTGGGAATAAGTACAGTGAGAAAACAAAGAGCTCCAAATATAAAGGTCCAAGTCCTTTTGTCAAGGCTATTATTCATGTACCAGATTGTGCTGTCCACTAGAATTTTAGTGATTTTTGTTTTCTATATGTAACTTACTTTGCGCAAGCTATGAGTTGAATTGTTGCAGTGCTCACCAGCAATGCACAATTGAATAGCAATCCAGGTGCTCTCCACCATCGACCCAAAAGACCATTTAATACTTCATACCACTATCATCAAGTTTTGTATTTTTTTTCAGGCGACATCAGAAGTTTAGAGTTTCGTTACCTGAATTATGTGACTCTTCCTACGAGTGTTGTGCCTTTCAAGAATTTTCACATAATCCATATACAGGCACATAGTTATATAACAGCTCCAACAACCAAGAGCACCGTATAGAAGTTGAAATATTATTCCAGATGTAATTCCCATTTGTGCAATAGTGTGTGGAAGAGTGAGGAGAACTTGTGCTACCTGCACAAGGGTAAATGAGTATTTCTCCATAGATTTTGAATATAATTCTAGAGAAGTTTTACCTGTGCTGTGGTTGTAGTGAGCCAAGCGTCAAATGAAGAACCTCCTACAAGGAAAGCTCCAATTTTCTTTTGGATGCTTCTTGCAGCTGTGAAATTGTTACTCTCTTCAACATTCGTAATTTGCATTCCAATGCCTACCCTAGACTCGTCCTTGCAGAAGGATTCCATGATTTGCAAACAGAAGAGCAACCTATAGTCAATAAAGACAAATTACAAGTCCTGCGAAAAAGCAAGTCCTTTGGAAATGAAAGTCCTCCCGGGCATTTCCTTAACTTTAGGGTTTTTCTGTCTGGGCTCCAGACGATTTGCTGTCTAGGATCAATGATCTTCAGTGTTATGATAGCAACGCGGATGCAAGGAAGAGGTTGGAAGTAGATCACAGCGCACCATTTCACATGTCGGAAGTCGGTTGGTTTCCTTCTTGGCAAAGGTGGTGGTGGGAGTGTATGCTCGTTACATGATATGGCTCCTCTCATCAAGCGTGTTGTTGGTATTTCACCCAATTACCAATGCGAGGAGGGCTTTCCCGTGAGGCTTAGAGAATTCCACGAAGCTGAAAAAGAAGATCAAAATGAGAAATAAAAGCCACTGAACGAATCGTGGCTAAACGTCTTTTTCATCTTTTTCTTTCGCACCTTTTGCTCTTCGATTTCCATCTCAATGTAAGAGCAGGCATCCGGAATGTCGAAGTTCTTGAGCAGCCGAGCTTAAAAGAGATCTCGTGACGAGTTTAATTACCTGAGGATGGATGATTCCAAAGGATCCAACGCAGGAGCCTTTGTACAAAAGTTTGGCTGACGACCCTTGAAAGCTCCCAGCGAAACGGGCTACATTACAAATGATAAAAACTTTTCCTTACATTGAATGGCTCCACGGTGTAGATTTCTGTATTGAGTGAGTCTGGAAAGGAGGTGTAAACAAAGCCAGCTTCTTTGGCGGGCTTGGCAGTGTAGAGAGAGCGACATTGTTTTGTTTTCTTCGACCAGGCACAGATAGCTCTCTTTCACTTGAAAATGAAAGAAGGGACTTATGTGGAGAGGAGAGTTTTGTGGAAAGTGGAGACTGGTAGCGCATGCTCGCACTTGCACACGACTACCGGGTGATGCGAATTGACCGTGGCTATATTTTCAAGTTTTCTCTTCCTTCTAGAAAACTTTTCTCACGGTTTCACAGGTGGAGATCAACCTCCATATGACTCCAGGAATGATCTCTTTGATTCATTGTAAATCCTCCGGCTGAAGCATGGCCACTGACAAACGATCCAGGAAACGTGTCAGCACGGAAAACCGACCAGATTGCTGGGATTGTCGGCATTGGAACGATTGAGGAGATTGCGATAGGAAAAAACAACTCAAGTTGAGAGAAACTTCAAAACCTAATATTGATACCACAAGCCTTAAAATTCCACGGGCGACTTTGTGCGAATCACAAGTCAAGACCGAGAAAAACTTTCCCTGTCCAAAGAAAAAAAAAGTCAAAATCTTTCTCCTTCTTCCTAGATGTTTTCGCTGTTTACCTCATTCGTAGTGATCAAAGCAGCTGCCTTGGGATCATCCTCAACCTGGAAGTGCGAATGAATTTGCGCGACTGAGAGAGAGATTGCTTTCGTGATTACCTTGTCAAGCGCCGAATGAATCTCTGCTATAGTGGTCGGATTCAACATGAAATTCACTTCGATTCTCATTCTCATGTAATAAAACTGGATGTATACTGCCCATCTCCGCCATCAAATTTGAGAACGTCGGGGGGAACGCCCCGAGCTTCACAAAACTCTCCTCGCTTATTTCCTCTGACGATTTTAGGGCTTTGACAGTCAATGTTATTTATAGTAAGGGTCTAAAGAACTATCCCACCAAGAGCCCTAGAATTTGGCGATGGAGCTCGAGTGGTGCAGCCAGGCGCTGGATGCGCTCAAGACGAAGACGCATGATCAGGCAATCGCAGAATACAGTGAGTGATCTCTTTTGGATTGTGAATCGAGCGCTGAATCTCTTGTTCTAGACGATCTCAGGATTATCGAGGCCAAGGAGCTGCTCCAGAACTTAGGGGATCATCCGTATTGTAAGGCAGCGACGCGGGTAGAGCTTCACGGCGTTCGCGACACCACCGGCTTCGTCAATGCGAATTTCATCCGGCACAAGGCTCTGTTCGGGGGGCCGACGGCGATCTGCGCTGGAAATCCCGACGCGCCAGATCGTTTCTGGGAGATGATCGTGCAGCAGCGCTGTCGAGCAATCGTCAAACTTACTGCTGTGAGTGTCTTGCTCGATTGCTCGAGGGAGTATTACTCGAACATTTTTTATTTTTTTGGTTTTGTAGGAATGCTACGCTGATTACTTTCCATCAAGGCCAGGAGAATTCGACAACTTTGGAGATATCAGAGTGACGAACAAGAGCTTGCAGCACAGTCGGTTTGGAGTTTCCAAGCGTGTTTTGGAAGTGGAATCCCCCGGCCATGAGGCCTTTGGCATTGAGCACTTTCAATACTCGTGGACGGACTTTGGAGTCCCAAGGTTGGTAGAGCCCGTCCTCGAAATTTTCGAGGAGCTCTACAAGCTTCAACCTGGATGCTCGTATGTCGTTCACTGCAGGTGCGTGCTTATCTTCTTCCTTTCTTCCTTGTTTATCTTTTTCTCTTTCTTTTCTTGGCCTGTGTTCCTTGGAATCTAAGTCTGTTTGCTTGCCAGGGCTGGAATCGGTCGTTCGGGAACTTTTATTACCATTGACCATATTTTAAGAAGGATTCTAAGTGGAGACCTGAGTGCCGTGAATGTTGCTGATGTAGTTCAGTACCTCCGACAGCAGCGAGGTGGATTAGTTGAGACGAACGTAAGCCAAGCCCTTGGGTTTTACTCTTTTTTTCCCTTTTGTCTAAATGATATTCTGTTCATTGCAGGAGCAATACTGGTTCTGTTTCAGAGCAATTATCAAGCACCTGGAGTGCTTTCTAGCACAGAAGTAAGCTTTGTGAAAACGATTTTGACTGACTTTCTTACGACCAATCGCCTGCTGAAATCACATGAGGACGCCATAGCCATGGCTCTTCTGGATGAGCCTCAAACTTGTCGCTCTCACTCGAATCGAGAAGAGGGGGGAATTGAAAGGTCTAGAGGGAGACAGAAGAAATTGCCGACAAATATCCCGCTGCTACTCAACACCTTGAAGGCATGCACGAGCACAAAAGACCTAGAACGGGGCAGAAGAATCCACTCCGAGGCAAGGAAAGCAGGGGCCGACACCAACATATTCGTGGCCAGCAAGCTGGTGAAAATGTATGCCAAGTGCGGCAGCACGGCAGACGCCCGTACGGCTTTCGACAAAGTCCACCACCCCGACGTCGTCCTCTGGAATGTTCTCATCCTGGGACATGCTGACAATGGCGAAGGCGACGTGGCTCTGGATTTGCTTCAGCAAATGCAAGCCTCGGGCTGTGAGCCAAACTCGAGAACATTTGTCGCTGCCGTGAAGGCCTGCTCGAACTTGGCTGCGAACGAAGAAGCAACACAAGTTGGCAGCAGCAACAGGATGGTGAAAGTCAGGGCCTTGAAGAGAGGGACGAAAGTTCATGCACGGGCTGCAAGCGGGGGATTTGACACCGACATCTTCGTCGCCAACACGCTCCTTGACATGTACTCCAAGTGCGGGAACATGGTGGAAGCGAGGAAGATCTTCGATGGAATGGCCTTCCGCGATGCTGTTTCGTGGAACTGCCTCATATCCGGGTACGCCGAGCACCGAGAAGACCTCGAGGAAGCACTGCAGCTGTTTGTGACGATGGTCACCTCCTCCGACTGCGAGTGTGACCATCGAAGTTTCGTCGCTGCATTGAAGGCCTGTGCTGGGATTGCAGCCGCGAGTAGAGAGGAAGCGACCAAGATCTCAGTAAACGACATGGAGCTGGCCAGGAAAAACAGCTTTCTTGCTCTCGAGAGAGGCATGGCGATTCATGCTCGAGCGTGTCTTCACGGCTGGGACTCCAACATCTTTGTGGCCAACACTCTCGTCGACCTGTGCGTGAAGTGTGGAAGAATGGTGGAAGCTCACGGTGTCTTCAACCGCATGGAGCAGCACGACGTGGTCTCCTGGAACATTTTATTGCTGGGATATGCCGAGTCGAAGTCCGTGAGCTCCAGCTATGAAGTTCTTCGTCTCTTCTCGGCCATGCAAGCGGAGGCACGTTGTCAACCAGACGCTCGGACCTTCGTGGCGCTGCTCAAGGCCTGTTCTACTTTAGCCAGTGAAGAACAAGGCGCCAGGCATGGAGCGTCAAAACAGGCAGCTCTGGACAAGGGAATGGCTATTCACTCTCAAGTCATCAAGCACAAGTGCGAGTCGGACAGCTTCGTTTGTAGTTCGCTGGTGGAAATGTACTCCAAGTGCGGCTGCATGGATCCTGCATACAGTGTTTTTGACGGCGTGAAGCAGCAGCAGCGCGGTCTAGTGCTCTGGAACACGCTGATACTGGGATACGCAGAGAACGGACAAGCCGAACAAGCTCTCCACCTTTTCGAACGGATGACCACAGAGCAGGAAATATCTCCAGACTCCCGGACGTTCGTTGCTGCTCTCAAGGCTTGCACGGGCTTGGTGGCGGCAGCGAGTGAAAGCAGCGGCGAGGCACTCAACACTCGAGCCGACGCGAAGAAGCTGGCTGGACTGGAGAGGTGCATGGCTCTCCACGCTGCCGCTGCCAAGACTGGATTCGACAAGGACCTGTTCGTGAGCAGCAGCCTGGTGGACTTATACGGCAAGTGCGGCAGCATGAGCGACGCTCGGAGGGTCTTCGACGGCATGCCGGTTCACAGCTCAGTGTCATGGAACTCGCTCATCCTCGGCTACACGGACAACGGCCAGGAGAGAGCCGCGTACGAGGTCTTCGTGAGGATGATCGACTCGCAGGAGGCCGGGTATGGCTCCAGGCCCGACTGCCGGACTCTGGTAGCGGTTCTCAAAGCTTGCGGCAACGCGGCGGACTTGCAAGCCGGGAAGGCCGTCCACGCGAGCGCTTGTAAGGCCGGACTCGACTCGGAGGCTCTCGTCGCAACAGGACTGGTGGATTTCTACGGCAAGTGTGGCAGCATGGACGCTGCTCGTCGCGTCTTCGACTCGGTCGAGGCGAGAGGCACGGACTCGGTGGCATGGACGGCGCTCATAGCAGGGTATAGCCGCGAGGGAGAGACGAAGCTGGCGCTGGAGCTCTTCCGGGAGATGGCCTCTTCCAGCTCTCGCCTTCCAGACGGTGTCACCTTTCTCGCCATCCTGAGCGCTTGCGGCCGGGCTGGGCTGGTGGACGCTGGGAGAGAGATCTTCCAGGGAATGGTAGCGGCGAGTTGTAGCTCCGGCGAGGTGGTGGCCAGGATTGAGCACTACCACTGCATGGTTGATCTTCTGGGACGCGCGAACGAGCTTGAGGAGGCGATGCTCGTCGCGGAAACCATGCCTTTCGAGGCCGGCGTGGAGACTTGGACGAGCTTGCTGGCCGCGTGTTGCAAGTGGAAGAATGTGGAGCTTGCAGTGCTCGCGTTTGAGAGGGTGCTGGCTTTGGATCGAGGGCTGGCGGCGCCGTATGTGCTCATGGCGAGCTTGTACGAGAGCTTGGGCTTGTGGGAGGATCAATCCAGGATGCTTTTGGCTATGGAAGAGAAAAGGCAAGCTAATGGTTTTTCTTCACGTTAATGGCAAGTTATTGAGTTAACATTGGAAACATTTGGCAAACAATTTAAATTTTTGCACCTTGTGCATTAGATTGTGCATGCTTGCCCAGGAACCAAAGCCTATGCCTATGATTCCAACCAATCCAAGGTTGATGCAGTAAACACCCACCCAGCTCCTGATCCAAAAGGGTGGCTACTCTATTTGAAATGAAAATGTTATGATATGGAAGATACTTGAAAGAAAAATGTGCCTACCTCTCTTGATTCTTTGTGCCAGTCTTGTGACCATGAAAGCAAGGCAAACACCAATTGCTGGAGATGATTGCGCCCACCACTGAGTTGATGGAACCACAGAATGAGCTAGAAAACAAATGGCCAACACAATTGGCATTCTGGACACACATTTTAAGATGTAGTTTTGGGAGCAATGGATGCCTAGTAATGTCTCCATCCTGGAACCACAAATGCAGCAAACACAATGAACTGAAAAAAGAAAGCAAAATAGATTATCATTAAGTTTTAAGTCCACCTGATGGGAAAGAACATTTGATCACCAAATCTCCACTTACTGCAGATGGGAGTGTAAGTGTGAAGATATGGATTGCATAGACATAGATTGTCTTGTCCTTTCTTGGTTTATCCATAGCTTCAACAATTTCTCTGCAGGTGTCGAGGAAGAAACAAACTTAAAGTATTTTTCTTATAATGTTAAAGCATGATTACCAAATGCATAGATAATAGTGCTGAGTGTTGTACATTCTGTGTTTCTAAACTCAAAATAGCAATGAACTTAGGCGTACCTTTTCAAAGAATATAGATGCAATAGTCAAATACCAAGCTCTATAGCTTGTCATAAACATTCCGGAAAACACCCGAAGTCTTTAATTCTGTGCTGTTGGAATAAGTATTGTTGAAAAACAAAGAGCCCCAAATACATATGTCCTATTTATGTACCAGATGATGCTGTTCAAGTTCAAGATCAAAATTATAGGAAAGGTTTTTCTTCTGGATTACCTGCTTCCCACATACGAGTTGAATTGTTGAGGTGCTCACCATCAAGGCACAGTTGAATAACAAGCCAGCTGCTCTCCACCACCGTCCTAAAACTTCATACCACTCAGCAAATTTATCATATTTTAAAGCTATCGAAATAATTTCTTTCTTGCTTTTCTACTTGAATAATGTGATTTTTCCTACGAGAATTGTGTCTTTCAAGAATTTGCACATAGTCCATGTACAAGCACATAGTTATATAGCAGCTCCAGCATCCAAACGCACCATAAAAAAAGTTTAAATATTATTCCAGATGTTTGTGCCAGAGTGTGTGAAAATCTGCACACAATTTGTAAGGGATAAATCCTTCTTTCGATAAATTTTGGACGAGGAGAAGGAGAAACGTTTGGATTAATGATTCTTTCTAAAATTTGAAAAATTTGTAGCGAGAGCTGCCTGCAGTGCCATGCATCAAATGAAGAACCTCCTTCAAAGTGAACTCTGGTAATTTGCTCATGGATGCTACTTGTAGTTGTTCTTACATTATACTCGTCCTTGCAAAAGGATTTCATGACCACACAGCAGAAGCACCCTAAAGATTTTGTCAAGTTCAAGGCTCGTAAGGGACAGAAGTCATTCAAAAAGCCAAGTCTTTCGGAGATGAAAATGATTGAGTGTAACTTTTGCCTTTGGTCCAAGGCAAAGTATCGCAGTAGCTTCTCCGAATTTAACTGAAGTGGGCTCTGATGAAAATTTCCTTCATTTTTTTAGAAAATATATTCTTGAAAGTAAGAGGTGTATAATCCTTCATTTTACCAAGGGATATTTTCAGTGTGAAATTAATATAATTTGTATAAATCTTAGTAACTGGATTAACAAAATTTCAAGTGGTTGACTGTATAATAAGTGAAGTTCAACTAATCCAATCACTTAATAATAATTTTTATATATGATTGTTCAAAAAATATTAATATTAATTATTATTTAATTATAAAATAATAATAAAAATAGAACTTAGTGTGGTTCAACATATGTTTATAATACATCAAATAAAGTTTATACTGTATAATCAGTCACTAGAATCATAAATAATTGATCTAAATCACATTCAATTCTTCTATAGATTCATTGACCTTTGGATCTTCTACCACAATTATATTTTTATACCAATTCGTTGTTATGTGCTCACTTTTAAAATTAAACTCAATATAAGCTTGATCTTATGGCATTTTAATGCATTAGTAATATATTATTTGAAGCCATTTGAGCAAATGTAAAATTGTTATTTATAAACTAAGTACTAGTTCAAAGTGATATTGTTGTATTGTAATTTTTACAATTCCACTTTTAACCATTTTTATAACTTCAATTATCATATCCATATATCATTGATTGATAGCATCTTTTACATTCTATTTTTTCTAGAAGAATATCAACCATTATACAAAATAAAATAAAATAAAATATCTTACTATTAAATTCTCTCAATAAAACTAGAGAAAAAAAATTACTATCTTAAGCATGATCTATATATTCCAATCTACTAAAGAAAATGAAGAAATAGAATGTAATAAGGAACATAGATATTGGTTAATTACAAAATTATAGTTGCTAATATACCTATTAACAATATTTACTAATTAAAATTTATTATTACTAATTTAGAGTTAGTCATTTTGTCATTTAGCTTGGCAACAAGGCAGTTAAAAAATTAGTGGTCCAACAAGAATTATAAAAATTAATGAAAGTAAATACAATATAATTATGGTAAAAAAGTATAAGGTCAAGAAATCAAGGGATTGAATGTGATTTATATCAAATGTTTATGGTTTTGATAGCCAATTGTTCTACACAAACTTTAACTATATATATATATATATATATATATATATATATATATATATATATATATATATATATATATATATATATATATCTGTGTGTGTGTGTGTGTGTGTGTGTAATATTCATCTTCATGGCAAAGTAACCTCCTCCTCCTCTTTTAGAGTGAAAATTGGTGCAATTGCTTGATACTATATAGTTATAGTTGAACAATTAAACTCAATTAATGTATGTAACTTTTACTTTTGCTATCAATCATTGTGTCTAACCAAATTTCTTCTATATAACTTTTAGTGATATATACCATTATTCTAATCACTTTATGGTGATTTCCACTTATCATTTTTAGGATGATATCTAGTATCTGTGTGAGTTTCTTATATATCTTTAAAGAATAATGTTGTAGTGGTATAATCATTTATGTCAAGATTGGAGTCTTTTTCTATATGTCTTCAAGTACACATTTATACATTTTGATGATAATTACATCATTTTTGTCAAGGTTATTTAAGTTAGTTATATAATTTAGTGTTTTCTTCCAAAGCCTTTTACTTTCACTTTTACAAGCACATTCTCCAAAAAGGCTAGAGGGTGAACACAATTTGCCTTTGACTCCACTTATCACAGCTACACAAGTTAAAAAATAAGTTGGGAAAGGTATTATATTTTTTGCAATAAAGATTAAACCACTAATAAAGGAAAGTCTATTGTTTCTAATATCTTTTCTTTACAAGAATATGAAGATTACTTAAAGCAAGAACTAAGTTCAGATCGACCACCACAACAAATAGTAGATCATGCTATTGAGCTTGAACTAAGCTTACAACTAGTGTCTAGAACTCTATATCAAATTTCTCATGCAAAATCACTTGCAACTAAAGAACATCAGTTAAAAGATTTACAAGCGAAAGGTTATATCTAGCCAAGTCAAAGTCTTTTTGGAGTTTCAGTACTGCTGGTCAAGAAAAAAGATGGCTCCATGCAACTTTGTGTTGGCTATCGAGCTCTCAATAAAATGACTGTGAAGAAATATTATCCTTCACCACACATTGACAATCTTTTAGATTGTCTTCAAGGTGCATGTTACTTTTTTAAGATTTGGCTATCACCAAATTTGAATTAAAGTAAAAGATGAATTTAAGATAGCATTTTGGATTGCTTTTGGCCACTATGAATATTTGGTCATGCCTATTAGATGTCAAGACCCCCAACAAAATCAAGACTGGAAAATGCAAAGGACAAAGAGAAAAGCTAGTGGAAACAAAAAAAATGCCTTAGACTGGTGTTAATTCAGATTGTGGAGAAATGGAACAAAGCTAACCTATATATACTATAGGTTGATGAAGCTCCACCACTCTTGGATCGAGGACGGCCTAAATATAGCTAAGGTCGAGGAGGCTCCACATCATCATCAGGAATGTGGCTCAAGACTCAGGAATCGTACAGGAAATCAGAGAGTCAGGAATAGGGAAGAGTCTCGAGAGTCAGGAATAGGGAAGTGTCTCGAAAATCAAGAATGTGGTCTGCAGGTCAGGAATCCAGCGAGATTCAGGAATGTGGTATAAATTGGGGGATTCCTGACAGCACCCCATCCTCAAGAACGAGTGGAACAAGGACATGAATGAGAACGAAGAGGAGGATGAGATGGGCGACGAGGGATGGGAGATGGAAAAAAAGAATGAGGACTAGGACGAGAAGGATAGCGGCGGTGGAAGTCTTGAACAAGGTCAGAAGAATGAATCAAGTTGTCCACAGGTTCCCAAGTGCGTTTTTTAGGTCCATAACCCTTCCAGTCGACTAGATAATAGAGTTTAGACCGTGAGATCTTGGAATCAAGGATGTCCTGAACCTCGTCCTCAGACCCATCCTCAAGCTGCACTGGTGGAGGCAGAGGAATGACCCGATTTGGAATAAGACTGGGAATATAAAACTCAAGGAAAAAGGAGTGAAAAACGGGGTGAATTTGATAGAAGGAGGGAAGTGCAAGGCGATAAGTAACAGGATTAATGATAGCAGTGATAGGGAAAGGACCGAGGCATTTGAAATCGAGTTTGGGACATGGCCTGGTGGTGGAAATATTTCGCCTGAAGAGCCAGACTTTATCCCCAATATTGTAAGGGGGACAATTCTGACGATGGGCATTGGCAAATGTTTTGTGAGATTCCTGAGCACGATGGAGGTTCAGAGGTTGTTCATTCTCGATTGTTGCCACTGCAGGCATATGCTAGCCCAGCCTCAACATGTGAGGACACTCTAGGGGAAGGCGCATGGGCAACTAAGGGGCGGTGGATGTACAAAGAGCCGAGCTCCACAATCCACAACAATAGGCATTTGCTGTAAGTTTGCTATTCCATGTCCACTTGGAATGCATTCTAGTGTTTCTCTTGACATTGTAGTGGAGGCCTAGAGCTTATCCTATGATTTGGTGTAAGAAAATAGGGGCAAATGTCTACAGTTTATATAGTGCTAGCAAATGTCTTTGTGCTTTGGCTTTTGAGTGCCCTCCCCCTCACCCCTTCCCTTGGGTGCTGGGAGCTAGGGTCTTCCACCAGATGCCAGTTCACAGCTCAGTGTCATGGAACTCTCTCATCCTCGGCTACATGGACAACGGCCAGGAGACAGCTGCCTACAAGGTCTTCGTAAGGATGATCAAGTTGCAGTATGGCTCCAGGCCCGACTGCCAGACTCTAGTAGCAGTTCTCAAAGCTTGCGACAATGTGGCAGACTTGCAAGCCGGGAAGGCCGTCCACACTAGCACTTGCAAGGCCGGGCTCGACTCGGAGGCTCTCGTCTCGTCGCAACAGATTTCCATGTCAAGTGTGGCAGCATGGGCACTGCTCGTCGTGTCTTAAACTCGGCAGAGGAGAGAGCCATGGACTCGTGACAAGGACTCGGTGGCATGGACGGCACTCATAGTAGGGTATTGAAGATGTAAGCTGGCGCTGGAGCTCTCGCCATCTCGAGCTTGTGGCCGGGCTGGACTGAGAGATCTTCCAGGGAATGGCAGCGGTAAGTTCTAGGTTGAGCACTACCACTGCATGGTTGATCGCGCAAACCAGCTAGAGGAGGCGGTGCTATCTGCCGAAGCCATGCCTTTCAAGGCCAGTATTGAGAATTGGACGTGCTTGTTCGCCACGTGTTGCAAGTGGAAGAATGTGCAGTGCTTGCATTTAAGAGAATGATGGCTTTGGATCTAGGGCCGGCATTCTCTTTTACCAGAGCTTGGGCCTGTGGGAGGATATCCATCGATGGCAAAAGGTATTGTATAGTAAGTTTTTCACACTAATGAGTTAAGTTCTTAACACTGGAAACATTTTGCAAACAGTCCAAATTTTTCCACTTTGTGCATTATATTGTGCATGCTTGCCCAGGAACCGAAGCCTGCGCCTATGATTCCAACCCAAAGAACCAATCCAAGATTGATGCAGTAAACACCCACCCAGCTCTTGATCCAAAAGGGTGGCTGCTCTATGGCATTCTGAAATAAAAATGTTGTGATATGGAAAATAGTTGAAAGAAAAATAGTGGTGGCCTATACCTCTCTTGATTCTTTGTGCCTCCTTATGACCATGAAAGCAAGGCAGGGGAGAATGTAGACACCAATGCTGGAGATGATAGCGCCCACCACTGAGTTGATGGAACCAAAGAATGGGAGCATAATAGCTAGAAAACAAATGCCCAACACAATTGGCATTCTAGCTATACATTTTAAGGTGTAGTTTTGGGAGCAGTGGATGCCTAGTAATTTCTCCCACATTGCAAATACTGGAACCACAAATGCAGAAAACTCAATAAACTGCAGAAAAAATTAAAGATTAAACGTTGAGATTATCATTGAGATTTTAAGTCTACCTGATGGGTAAGCATAAGGATGATAGCTACATTTCTGAACTTGGATGGGGAGAGCACTGCTAGGGCATTTGGATAATTCAGCATCTGATCACCAAATCTCCAATACACACTCACTGCTGATGGGAGTGTAAGTGTGAAGATATAAAGGATTGCATACACATTAGTTATCTTATACTTCCTTGGTTTATCCATAGCTTCAACAATTTCTCTGAAAGCTGAAGTTAATAGCAGTAAAGCAGATCATATTTTAACTTACAGTGTCAAAGCGTGATTACCAAATGTATAAATATTATTTGTAGCACCTGTAAAATACTGGATTTTACTTACTGGAGCTGAGTGTTGCACATGCTTATCATGCTGTGAAAGTTACTAAATTTAAAATATTGATAAAGCTAGGACATACCTTTTCAAAAAATATAGATGCAATAGTGAAATACCAAGCTGTATAGGTTGTCATGAATATGCCAATAAACACCCAAAGTCTATAATTCCTTGCTGTGGGAATAAGTACAGTGAGAAAACAAAGAGCTCCAAATATAAAGGTCCAAGTCCTTTTGTCAAGGCTATTATTCATGTACCAGATTGTGCTGTCCACCAAAATTTTAGAGATTTTGTTTTCTATATGTAACTTACTTTGCACAAGCTATAAGTTGAATTGTTGCACTGCTCACCATCAATGCACAATTGAATAACAATCCAGATGCTCTCCACCATCGACCCAAATGACCATCTAATACTTCATACCACTATCATCAATTTTTTATTTTATTTTCAGGCGACACCAGAAGAAGATTTTAGTTTTGTTACCTGAATGATGTGATTCTTCCTACGAGCGTTGTGCCTTTCAAGAATTGCCACATAATCCATATACAGGCACATAGTTATATAGCAGCTCCAACAACCAAGAGCACCATATAGAAGTTGAAATACTATTCCGGATGTAATTCCCATTTGTGCAAGAGTGTGTGGAAGAGTGAGGAGAACTTGTGCTACCTGCAAGGTAAATTTCTCCATAGATTTCGAATATAACTCTAGAGAAGGCTACCTGTGCTGTGGTTGTAGTAAGCCATGCATCAAATGAAGAACCTCCTACAAGGAAAGCTCCAGTAATTTTCTCTTGGATGCTTCTTCCAGCTGTGAAATTGTTACTCTCTTCGACATTTGTAATTTGCATTTCAATACCTACTGTAGACTCATCCTTGCAGAAGGATTCCATGATTTGCAAACAGAAGCGCAACCTATAGTGATCTTTTGAAGGTCCAAGTCTCAAGAAAGACAAATTACAAGTCCTGCGAAAAAGCAAGTCCCGTGGAAATGAAAGTGATCTGAGTAACTAAAAGGAAGTTTCTTTGGACCCATTTGGAGAAGCCTAGTCGAGTCTTCCGAAACTTTAGGGTTTCTATCTGAGCAGTGGCGTACGCCCCGGACAATTTGCTGTCTACGATCAAATCCATGATCTTGAGTGTTATGGTCAAGAAAGAAGCTCTAAGTGGATTACTGCACACCATTCACGTCGGAAGTCTACTTCGACCTTCTTGGATTCAAGGCCACTTCAGGTGCCTTTCGCATTGGTGATTGGGTGAACGCTTGATGAAAGGAGCCATATTCCACGATAAGAGCGAGAACGGCGGCTTACGGAATTCAAGAACTAATGACAAGGTGACAAAGAAATAGAAACCTCTGACAGAGCGCCACATGTTGGAGTCAAGTTCCAATCACCAACAGCAAGAAGAGAAACAGGACGAGGCTGGATCACGAGATATAAATATAAGAGGAAACGACTGTTTGGTTCACATAGTGATCGATCGATGACGACGGCTGCTGCCTACTATTTTATTCACCACTACTAACTGCGAGTTCACAAGAAGTGCTCGACCTTTAAGAAGCCGGGACTTTCAAAACAAATGTAAAATAATTTTGCTTTTGACTCTGCTTTGTTGGAAGAATATTTTTTCATAGAAGTCTCCAGAGGAAGCCCAGTTTGTTGACAAGTGGCGATATTGAACGTGTGCCATGAGCACTTAATGCATGTTATACCCCACGCTATAAGAAGTGATGCCCGTCCAACAAAATTTGCAGCAAGTAGGTTGAGCGAGTGAAAGTTTCTAGAGATTCTCAGTAGAGTTGTGTGAGCTTTGAGAATCTGATTCTTGAATCTGATGGAGTTTGTGGATGAATCTGAAGAGGAGTTCGAGGGGTTCTGGGAGGAGGACTGGCCAGAGTTCCATCGGGGAAGACGAGGAGGCGGGGTTCGGCGAGGAGGAGAGCAACCTCGCGGTGGCAAGCAGCAGCACATTGGAAGATGGATTCGTGTCGATTGGATCGAAACGGCTGATCATCACATCCTCCAGATCGATCTGCCTGGTGAGGGAGTTCTTTCTTTCCTCTCTTAAAACCTTGAGGAATGCAGGATCCTCCGGGATCCTCTAAATATTTCAAAAGTGAATCTGTTGTGAACCAGGTGTGAAGAAAGATCGACTCCATTTGAAGGTCGAAGGCAACAGGATGCTGGTGATCTGTGGGGAGAAGCACAGGGACAAGCCTGATAAGGAGAAAGGCGAGAAGGCGAGATTCTATGAGCGATTCGGAGGCGAGTTTTCAAGATCCTTTCGGATGCCCAAGGATGCAAAGATAGACGAGATTACGGCCACCATGGAAGATGGTGTACTCACTGTCACAATCGCCAAGATCAAATCTGCTGAACAGAAGCCCGATGTGAAGAACATCAACATCCAGTTTGCTCAGCAGGCTGGTGGAACTCATTTGCCAGGTCAAGGTTTAAACTCTACTTATAAACTGTAATTTTATTGAATTTAGATGCAGGTACTCAGCAGCAGCAATCTGCTGCTACAGCTGCCACTTAAGAAAGTGAAAACGTCCATGGCCACATAAACAAACCTATATAGATTTTGAATAAAATATTCTGGCAGAGTTTTACTTGGAGTCGTGGCTAGTAATTTCCACTTCGGATGCTTCTTGCACAATTGAGTCATCCTTGCAGAGTCAATTTGCAAACAGACCTAGTGTTCTTGTCCTATAATATAGAAAGTCTTGAGTAGCTAGAAGTTTCTGTATGGAATGGAAATTGTTCAGCTTGAAAATTGGCATCCAGAATTGTAATTTCGAGAAGCTGTTTTGGATTGCAGTTAAACAGAATGCTAGTCCAAACTTTTTCAAAACTCATACACTACGATTTGCTGAGGATCAAGATGTTTATCCAAGTGTTATGTGGATTACCACCACTTCGTCTACTTGGGTTTGTTTCAAGGTGGTGGCAGTTCTCTGGTCCATGGTTGAGGCCATACATGACATGGCTCCTCTCATCAAGCGCGGTTTTGGTATTTACCAGGGCTTTCCCGTGAGGCTTAGAGAATTCAAGGTGACGAAATGAGAAACTGAACAAATCGTGGGGAAAATCTTTTTCTTTCGTGCTCTAGCCTACAAAAAGCGTTCGATTTCCATCTCAACGTAAGAACAAGGATCCGGAATGTCGAAGTTCTTGAGCACCTGCAGAGCGGAGCTTAAAAGAGACCACGTGACGAGGTTACGTACCTGAGGATGGATAATTCCAAAGGATCCAACGCAGGAGCCTTTGTAGAAAATCTTGGCTTGACGACCCTTGAAAAGCTCTGGTTCCTGTGGGAGGCAGCGAAACGAGCTTAGTATTACATTACAAACGATAAGAACTTTTCCTTACATTGGATGGCTCCACGGTGTAGCCGTCGACTGGAACATTGAGAACGTTCATGATTCTATCCAGGAGGCCGTGTATGATCTGGAAGGCAGGCTTGGTCATTCCATTTGTTCTACAGACAACATTAGCTTACTTCGAAGCCAGACGTGGTGCTGCAGTACAAAGCAGCCAGATGACGGGAATTTGCAGCTCCTACATCCTTACTGGGATCCAGGAGAACTACGTCAGAGATCTCGAAAACCTGCATAAAGATAGGACGAATTTAGAGAAAAACCGATGCGATGGATCAAAGCGGGGCAAGCAAGCGCGGGGAGACGAAGAAAAGTTCGAAGAGATGATAGTATCTTGATCAATACCTTCACTGGACGAGGAACATCTTTGCTGTGTTCCATGACTTTTAGAATACCAGGCAGTAGACTCGTCCGCAGAACCTGAAAAGCCAAAGAATTAACGAAACAGTGAAACAAAGGGCTCTTTATACCCACCTCAAAGTCGCTGCTTCGAGGATTGCTAACTATTGCAGCAATCTTCTCGTCATCCTTCCTGTTCAACAACGTAAAGTTTTCCTTCTTGGACACTAGGACCCAGTTAAGGACTTCGCTGAACCCGGCCATTGCCAGCTGCGAAACAAGGCCACAAATTGAGTTGCTTTCGATTTCTCAAGTCAACCAAAATACCTCAAGTCTTAGCAAGTCACTGAACTCGTTAAGGGGTTGCTGCCTCCCTTCAGTGCTGGTTTTTGGTCTAGTCTTTGGAATGTTGTTAAAGCCATACGCAACAGCAACGTCCTATAGCCGTAAGATTGAGCTTTGAGACGGATGAAACAAAGACAGTACCTCCATTACATCGCAAGGATGCAGAATATCACTTCTTGTTGGCGGTATAAACACTTGGATTTTGTCCCCATCTATCTCCTTAGACGTCAATTGCATTTTGCTCAGTAGATCCACAATCTGGAAGAGTCAAAACGTTTTATAGTAAAGGACGCAGATTAAGGAAAGAAGATACATTACCTCTCCAGCTTGAAGTGGTACTCCAATGGATTTCTTAATGTATGATAAATCTACGTCCATGGTGCGCAAGGAAAGATCAGGACATCTCGTGACTCTTCCAACTGGATCCACCACATCGACCGGTTCAACTTCGAATTTCTCATCGCAGTACCCGGAAAACATTGCAACCTGCTGGCAAATCTCAGTGACTCCAAGTTGAAAAAGCAGCACTTACCATCGTGTTTAATACGATTTTAGCCTTGGTTAAATCCGTGGCGGTACATTCTATGAGAACGTTCTTGGTATTCAAGCTGATAGCCGAATGAGCACCGTTTATAATCGGCGGCAGCGAAAGAACTGTCCTGGTGATTAATAACGAAAAGAAAAGAACGAACGAACGATGAGTGTTAATGAACGATGAGTTGAGTTTTACCTGTTGCTGTCGTATATCACAGGGAAGACTGGCGAGTCCTCTATAATGTGGAGAAATTTCTTTAGCTTCAAATCCGACTGTTGAAAACACTGTGTTAGAAAAGCTGATTCGCAAACACATTGTAGACACACGGCTACCTTGTAAAACTCCATCAATTCTTTTGCTGTAAACTCTTGTGCCTGCCACCAAAAAGCACAAGACAAAGTTACGCTCCATGAATTGAATTTGGTACCTGCTTCAATGGGATGAACTTTATTTCTGATGGAGGAAGAGCCTGCAAAGTGAATGCATATTTAGAAGTAAGAATAAAGGTCTTCAACAGTTTTAAAAACGAACGAACTTCGTAAGTGAAAGGTCCCTGTAGTGTGTCCAGATCATGAGTTCCAATTGCAACCAAGGTTCTCTTCCTTAAAAAAATAATAACGAGTTGAACATATGCTTCACGTTTACGAAAATTACCTGCAAATATTTTGATGGAGTCTGTCTTGGAGGTCGATGAAACTGGCGTAGCGTGCTTGATCGAAAGTGATACCCCTGAGAATAGCGCAAACTACAAACGGCCTGATCACTGCAGTCTAAACAACCAGGAAGAAAACTTCAACAAAAGACCAGATAAAATTATTAACACTACCTCTGGTTTCACGATCATCTTCAGGATTGAGGAGTCGGGAAGTCTCGAAAGTCTGTAAGTTGGCATTTTCTCGACCCGCAAGAAGATTCGCAATTGCCGACAAATCCCCTCCGGACAAAGGAGATCATATCTGGAAACAAAGAAAAAACTTCAATACAGAAGGAAGAAAGAGTTTCCAGAACAAATGCAGGAGAGTTTCCATACCGGTTTGCAGGAACCTCGATCTTGTAGATAACCTCTTCGTCCTCGTCCGCTTCATTCTCCTGCAAATGCTTCTCTTTCCTGATTATAGCTTTCTCTGTCGTCTGGAAAAAGGCCAGAGTCATCAAGCAGCGGCAATGTAGCGAATTTCACACTCACCACATCGTCCAGCTCGATTCCAATCACGAAGCACAGCTCGTCGAATTCCTCTTGCGCTGCCAGGCGAACATCAGAGCGCTGACGCGCACATCAGAATTTTCTTACTGTAAACCCTCCCCAGCATCGTATGGAGCAACTCCCTGGCGACGCTCACCGTCGGCATTGCCTCAAAGAGGTTTAGGGCTGAAAAGAATATCCTTGAAGGCTCCTCACCGCTGATGGTTTGTTCCAATCCAACGGCTCATCTGCAACCATGAAAGCTTACTAATAATTAAAACGAAGGGGAAAAATGGGTTTGTTGTTTTGGCGGCAAATGGGCTGAAGAAGGCATCGGCAAGGAGCCAAGGCGGGGTTGTGAATAAGGCTCCATCACAGTGATTGGGTTAACGAGACGCTTGGGGCAAGGTGTGTATTTGTGCTCTAATTGCCTAAGAGAGAAGGTGGGGCAGGAAATCTGGATTTTTGCAGCTTCTCAGGAATTCTGGATTGGAAGACTATGAGTCGGGCAACGATTGTAGAAGCCTTCTAGAAGAGGAGCCGCAAGTGCCTCGAATGTGGATAACTGTAGCCACCAGACCAGAAAGGTCTTTTTCCCAATTCCAGAAGCGGCTGAGCTTCTCTCTTTTGGTTGTTGTTTTCCAGGTTTTTCATTCAGGGACGGTTCAAACGAGCAGAGAAATTACGGATGTGTGCGAGTGAGAGCGAGTGGTAGTCTCGACTGCTACCAAGATGGAGAGGTCAGATTGTAAAACTCTGTTCTTCACAACTCTTTGATTGTATTGATAGATTGCAAGGAAAAACCCGCTCTGTAGCCATAGCGCCATGGCTGTTGCGGGCTTCAAGCCTTGAGCAATACAAGTTAATTTTCTTGTAGAGGTGCCCTTAGTTCACAACGCAGTGTTTTGCAAATCCACTAATCTAATGCAGCAGTAGAGGTTACAGCTGCAAAGAGGGTGGCGATGGATCTGTTGGACACGCTCTAGCCGCGCATGGCAGGTTTCTTTCATTGAGTTTTGTATTCATGCCCGCATTTTAGGAGTGTCACATATGAACTGAAATCAGCTTGAAGCAAACAACATCCACTAAGTTTCACAGCATTTGATTGCATCGAATATTGCTTAGTCCTGAGAACAAGACACAGCTGGTGGCTAAAAGCAAAATAAGGTCTGTCCACAGTGACAATCAACTTGTGGCAAAGTGAGTTATATTAGCTGTAGTAGTGGGCAAGAGAAAAGTGAACGACTCAACACCTTTTGCAACAATTTCCTTACTACAAGAGCTCATCGGTGAGAAGCTGTGGAGAACAAGGGATTGTGGGCTCTAGGAGGTAGAAATAAGTATCTAGTGGAGTTAATGGACGAGATAAAGCAAATGATGGTTGATTAAGTACATCTCACTTTTCTTAATTGAGTTGAACTAGTCAGTGGTCACACTTGAACTAGTCTAGTTTGCATTTGTTTATGAGCTAATTTTACGTAGGCTGCATTTTATGCATCGGAAATTTATAATAGTATATATTTTATAGATTTGAATCTGATTGAATTTTGTGGTCAAAGTGGTTTTGTCATGGTTGCTAAGTAGTATGCACTTTCTGCACTAGTATCTAGTTGAATTTAGTGGTCAAAGTGGTTTTGTCATGGTTCTTAAGTAGTATACATTATATATGATTGAATTCAATGGTTGACGTGGTTCTATAAGTAGTGTGCATTTTTTTCAGAAGTGTCTGATTGAATTTAGTGGTTAAAATGGTGCTATCATGGTCTAAGTAGTATGCATTTTCTACATTGATATCTGAAATAATTCAATGGCTGAAGTAGTTCTAAGTAGTATTCATTTTTTATAGTGGTTGAAGTGGTTCTATCATGGTTCTGATACTGTGGTATGAATGGTATACTGTGTGAACCATGTGTGATCCTCTAGTGAATTATGATGTTGTCATCGAAGGCACTTAGCTCTTTTGGACACCACTTGATTAGTTGACATTACACTAGTTTCACACTTCCCTCAATGCAAGCTAAACATTATCATTTAATCTCATCCACCCTAGTAAACTACTTGCCTCCAAAAGTTAGATAACTCTGATGTTTAAGTATGAGCATGTCATGTTTCCTCATAGCCACAAATATTGTAATGACAAGATCATTCCTCCCCATGAAATGCCAAATGGATTTCACCTTATGTTTCACAACTCTTCTAGCAAGTAAGTCATTTGTATATGATATTTGCAGCACCATATGTTGAGGTTGGTTAATGGCTAACATAATATGGCTTCAAGCTCTCATAATGTTGACATCAAGATGGGTTGTGGTCAACTTTCTATATAAGTCCAACTAGTGACAATATAAAGTGCTATCTTGTATTATTTATATCATAAATAAAAGCAATGAGATTTTATTTACCAAAAAACAAATGACCAATGTAAATATTAAAAACCACTATTATCACTTAGAGGCTATTAATTGCAGCAAACATAACTGATCAGTGTTGATGGTACAAAGTATATACTACCTAAGAATCATGACAGAACTGTTTCAATTGCTGAATTCAATCAGATACCATGGTATACTGTGTGAACTAACTAAATATCAATTGTAAGAGAAGCAAAGAGAAGGTGGAGAGTGTAAAGGAGGGGAATGCCTAAGGCAGGGCTAGTGACTGGAGTGAAGTCGTAACAAAGTAGCCGTACTGGAAGGTGCTGGGGCTTGGGGGAGGGTGAGGAGGAAGCGATCGAGGAGTCACAGTACTGATCCTGGAGTCCGCAGAAAACTTGACATCCCCCCTTGACCTTACTGAGGCCCTTTATATCTGGTGGGTAACAGCGCTAGCACCTTCCCTATATCCTCGTCTAAGACATGGAGCCTTCATCCTGGTTCTTGGGGGATGAAATGGTGGCCGTTGATTCCTGGTCGTCCAATTCCTACGGTCACAATTAGAATCCTGGCCGTCCGATTTTAACAGTCGGTTTAAATCGAAGGTTTTGGAAGCATGGGCTCCCTTATCATCTGATTCATCCCAATGGAACTTGAGAGAGCTGTGGACAGAATAACGTTTGAAATTGAAAGAATAGTTTGCGGATCATTTCCTTAGTGTTTATCTCGGATGTTTTTCACACGACAACTCCATGGAGCTTTTGCTTGATGAACACTGCGATTGGATTGAAGTTCCTAGACTTCAGGTACTAAGTGGCTTTCTGGATCCATTGCGTAGTTTTTTAGAACTTATGTTGATCACACAGCTTTAGTGAGGATGGAACGCTCTTGGCTGCCACTACAAACGGTGGCAAAACTTTTGTGTGGGGGCTTGATGGAGGCCATTGTTTGCGCATTCACTCTTAAGGCGATGTTCATGGCCGCAGCTCCATCTAGCGTCAAGCAAAGCTGAAAAAACAGTTTCCTTTACTTACTGTTCTTACTGTTCTTCCTTTCGTTCGTGGCTCCCACGCCATAACCAGTGCGAAGATTGGAACGCACGAGGACTTCGCATGCATCCTTTCTAGATTGATTAGTAGCAACACAAAGCTACTGGAATTGTAACTATTGCTTCCTTCCATTGATTTTCTTCTCACACAGGGTAATAATTCATCTCATGAACACAAGCCGGTGATAGTCACTTCTAGTCTTGGCAACTTTTTTTGTTTCCCACCAAGCCTTGAAGAAAACAAAAAACTGTTTTTCTGAATCAGCAAAGTTTAAATGCTACAAACACTCAGTATATGATCTTCCTAGCTTGGACTTACACCATCAACCGGTGTAGAAAGTTAGACAAAGCTAGTAACCTCTGTTTTGTAAGATATCTCCGCTCACTTCTTGCCTTGATGACGTTAGAGCCACCTTCTCTCCACCCGATGAAAATCTGCCACCGAAGTTCTATCACTCCCGATGGGGATCATCACGGAGTGTTAAGCCACCGGCTTCAAGCTTAAATCCAAGTACCTAACCATGCCTGCGACAACTTGATCCCGGCATTTGCATCGAAAGCTGGAACTCAGTGAGGCAGGAGCCCTATCTTCCTCCTCCCCCACCTCCTCCTGATCACCGAGAGGAAGTAGAGGAAGAAGAGGAAGAGCAGCGCAACCAGCAGCCCGGCAAGGATTGGAAGAAGCAGCGGGGTTGCCGCCACAGCCGTCGCTTGCAAGTTGAGATCATTGGAGGAAGCCAGCTGAAGATACGCATTGCTGCTGCTGCTGCCGCCACCTTCGCCTTCCAACAGCGAGTTCAGGAAGGCATCACTGCTGCTAATGCCTTCTCCTTCAAATAACTCGATGAAATCACTGGCACTGGCACTGCTGCTGCTCACCCCGACGTCATACACTAAACTCTGAGAGCTCGATATTGAAGTCCCTTCAGCTTCTTGAAACGTTTCGGTGTTGATCCTCTTGGCCTTCCCACCATCCTGGCCCAAGCTTCGAGGGAACCACCGCCACATAAAAGGTGGTGGCGATGCTGGTGGTGGTGAAGCATTGCTGCTAGCCTCCTTAGTGTCACCAGTGCCGCTAGCCAGTAACTTCTGAGATGGAAATCCTGTGGCTGCATGGGACTTTAGCACCTGTTCAATGTCCATTTTAGTATGAATATCTGGTTCCTGTCAGCAGAGGCATACCTTGTAGGATGACTCGTCGGCCATTGCTGCTGCAAGTTCTTCACTATTCTTGTATGGAAGCCTCCTGTGCATTCTCACACCATCACCTCGCAAGCTCCGCCAAAAGACTGAAGCTGGTGTCGATGAAACATCAGCTTGCCTCAACAACTTTCGAGATCCTGCTGCTGCATGAGACTTTAGCACCTGTTCAGCGTAGATCTTAGTACGAATACATATCTGATTCCTGTCAACGGAGACATACCTTGTAGGATGACTCCTCGGCCATTGCTGCCACAAGTTCTTGTCCTTCACTATTGTTGTCTGGAGGCCTCCTGTGCTTTCTCACGCTGCTAGTGCCATCGCCTCTCAACCTCTGCCAAAAGACTGAAGCTTGTTCTTCTCCATCTTGTTGTGCGCGCAGTGGAGCTATGAAGCCATCCACCCAGCGGAACAGAGAAGGGCCATTCTCGTTGGAGACGAAGATAGGAGGACCTGGCGCTGCTTCCAGAAGCATCCGTCGGGAACTGATAACTGGGAATCGATGCCACCCCAAGAAGTTCTTGAGTTCTTCCCATAATTCCTGGGACGTCACCTCGTCCTCCTCCAAGCCCGCGTTCAAAAGCCTACTCCACATTTCTTCTTTTATCGACTGAAAAGTGGTCGGTAGCTTCCAACTCCACTCTCCAACTAGCTTCTTAAATTCCTCCACCTCCAGATGCATTTCGGCTCTGGACGGTAGCTGCACCGACGGGAATGTCCAGGTCCGAAAATAGCTCTGGATATCCTCCCAGCTCAGGTTGTCGTCGTCGTCGTCGTCGATTGCAAGCGTCTTGCCACCAAGAGAAGTATATTGAACTGAATCCACAGCGCCAACCATGACCGCCTCTAGCTGCAAGAGAAGGTTGGTGCGGTTCCAAGCAAACCATCTAAGCTCTCCAGTTACCTCTTGCGAATCATGGTTTTCATCCTCGAGTACAGGTAATGGTGGTGGATCATACTCGGGAACACTTGATGCTGCTCCGGCAATAACTGCCTCGAGGTGCGAGGGTGGTGCTGGCGAGGATGAATCCTCCAGCTCGATTGGAGCAACCGGCTGCAAGCGAAGATTAGCTACATCTGGAGTTACCTCTTGCAAGTCATGCTCGTCATCCTCTTCGAGTTCATACTCGGGAACAGTTGATGCTGGGTCACTGCTGGCGATCACTGCCTCGAGCTGCGAGGGCAGTGCTGGGAAACCCTCCGCTTTCTTGTCGGCAGGAGTCTGCCCGCACGCGAAAAATGTCAAGGAACAAGAAAAAATGACAGAAACGAGCGAGCTCTACACACCTCAAGGAGGAGGACCTTCAATCCTGTTGCCTGTGTGCTTGCCTGTGCTGGAGCGCGTCGCAACCAGGAGAACGCCAATGCTAGAGCTTCCATCACCGCCAATATAATAGGGCAGGGTTACTATGTAAAGTATCGATTTAGAAGATCGTGAGAGATCGAAGGAATATATGTAGAAAGATTTGCTTGGATCTCAGCCAGATCGCGAATCTGAGGATCATCAGCGGAGGAAAACCTCATGTCTTGTTTCGGCAAAAACGTCACCAAGGGCGATCCATAAAAAAGAACCTCAATTATGGACAAGATGCATGCCTCGCATTTTTCCAAAAGTGTGACTAAGTCTCGCTCTTCTTTGCCTTTCCATGGATGAGACCTTGGTAGACGTCGCCATTTGCATAGTAAAACGTATTGGTCTTGCCTTGGACCGAATTTCCGTCCTAGGAGATCGTCCATCGACCTTGGAAACGTAGAATCACGCGACGAAAAGAGAAGAAGGGATTTACGATTGTTACTTCATTCATTTCCGGTTGTCCTCCTCCACAACGTCCTTTATACGAACCACCTTGAAAGCACATCTCCACCGATGGAGGAGTTCACTCGTTTTCCTGATGAAACTAATGTAAGAACAAACCAAATGGAAACTTACGCAGCTCGTTGCGACAGAGATTGCTCTGGCCTGTTGCTATTTCTGTCTTGGATCAAGTCGGAGGCCACCGCGTCGATTCCCATCCTTAGAACGCCGTTGTTAGGCACTGCAGCAGGGTCATAAGGCAATGGTTGCACCTTGCTTGCTTCGTGTGGTTCCATGTAGCTGTTTGCTTGTGCTTGCTGGATTTCTCGAACTCAACCAAGCTGCCGAGGCTCAGATTTTGATGCAGAACGGTGAATGTGGGAGTCACGGTAGTGCATTTCATCCTTTCGTGCTCGCTTTGATTTGCATCAGTTCCTGCCTCTCTTGCTCGCAACTATTAGTATCGAGACGTATACACCAGAAACGAGATGGTAATCATGTTGAGGCGATCGCCCGATAGCCCAAGGATCCGAGCAGAACCGAATGGTAGTAAATGAATGAAGTAGAGAAACGTATCTTACCATTTCTGACATAGAGAATTCAGTAGTTCCATCACCTGTAAAAGACGATGGCAATTGTTAGAAACTGGAAGCAATGTCGCAACTTACAGATATCAGTCTCTTGTTAGTAATGTCTCGTGAACCTCACATAACTTGCAAAAAAGATGAGCCTTCTTACCGAGAAGCAAGTCATCAGCAGCTTTAAGACTAGAAGAGCAAACAACACCGAAACAGTAAAAACTGATAGCTTATTAAGAAAGACTTACTTTCGCCAGATGGTTTTGTGGCAATACAAAACCCGAGACCACCACCGGTGCGCGCAAGCCTGAGTTTGGCACATACTGCGTCCAAGCCTTGACACAAAGAACCTTGAAACGCATGCCCTTCAAATGGAAAATTACTCGTACAAACATACCAACACAATCGCAGCTTCCACAGTGATGGATTTTCAGCAAGACGAATAAGTGATCCTCCCCTGAGCAAAGCAATGTTTCACGGAAACGAGTAAAGGAGAAAAATTTGTGAAAAAAACAAACTGTCGCGAGCTCCACAATGCTGCCCGTGACGATTCTAGCTCGAGATGTTTCTCCTTCTCTTGTCTAGAACCAACCACTCTTCTCTCTAAATACCTCCAAAACACAGGAATCACACAACCACACTCCACTGGGCAGTAAAAGATCAATGACACGGGTATGGCTGCAAACACAGCTTTAGCCTCATCAAGATGCCTTTCTTGGGTATTTTCTGCAAGTATAGATGTCCAACTACATCCCTCTCAGGCATTTTGACATAGATATATTTTTTCTCCAGGAGCTTCAAATTTGAGGTGTATCAATGGAACATGATATTACAGAAGACAAAATTTCGATCAAAGCCATGATCAAACATCGCCTTTGCCTCGTCCAGATGCCCGTTTTGGGCATACGCTACCAGCATCGCCGAGAAGCTCACTAGATTCCCGCCGTCTTTGTGCAAAAAGATGCTATAGCTCACATTTTGCCGTTGATGGTAGGAAACCAGTCCTGGCCGTCCAATTCCAACGGTCATAACCTAAATTTTGAAGTCCTAAACCCTGCATGAAAGAGTTGAGCCGGGGGGAATGCGTAGATCTCATATCCTCGTGCACGACACTTCCGGATGCCAAGATCATCCACGCGCGAGTGGCGTGCAGCCCGCGCATGATCGATTCGGGCCTCTTCCTCTCCAATCTCCTCATCCAGATGTATGGCCGGTGTGGCAGCACCGCCCACGCCCGCCGCGTCTTCGACGCCCTGGACGTGAAGAACGTCTTCTCCTACAATCTCTTGCTCACCGCCTACGCCCGCAACGACCAGATCGACGACGCCATCGCCCTCTTCGATCGCATCCCCGACAAGAACCTGGCCTCCTGGAACGCGATGCTCGCCTCCTACGCACGGATCGGCCGGATCGGCGACGCGCAGAGGATCTTCGACGCGATGCCGGCCAGGAACACGATCTCCTGGACGGCGATGCTGTCCGCCTACGCGCAGATCGGCGAGACACGCCTCGCCGCTGCGATCTTCCGCGCGATGCCGGATCCGAGCCTCGTTTCCTGGAGCGCTATGCTGGTTGCGTGCGTTGACGCCGGGGATTTGGAGGGCGCGATGGCGCTGTTCCTGGCGATGCCGCTGCGCGATCTGGTGGCGTGGACGACGCTTCTGGTGGGATTTGCCGATAACGGGCATCTGGACAGCGCCAAGCGCGCGTTTGATTCCATGCCGGAGTGGAACATGGTAGCGTCGACCGCGATGATTGTCATCTTCTCTCAGAAGGGATCCTCGAAGAAGCGATTTCTATCTTTCGATCGATGCTCTACAGGGATCTAGTCGCGCTGACAGCGATGATTGTAGCATTTGCTCAGAACGGGCATTTGCTACAAGCTCAGAAAATCTTCGACACTATGCCAGATCGAAGCATCGTTTCCTGGACGGCGATGTTGGCATGCTACTCACAGCTGGGGAGGATCAACCAAGCTAAAGAGATCTTTGAAGAGATGCCAGAGAGGAATCGCGTGGCTTGGAACACCATGCTTGCGGCAAACGCCCAGGAAGGGGATGTAGAGAGTGTGGAGCTCCTTCTCTCGCGAATGCCCGAGTGGGATCTAGTCTCCTGGACAGCGCTGGTCGTGGCGCTAGCGCACAGAGGCGAGCTTGATCACGCCAGGATCGTTTCCAAGCGCGTGAGCGACCTCGATCTCCGCCTCTCCAACGCGATCATGGCAGCAAGCGCGCTCGATCACAGCAAGCGCGTCTTCCAATCGATGCTCTACCGTGACATCTCGTCCTGGAACTCGATGCTGAGCGCCTACGCGCGCTCGGGCCGCATCGACGAGGCGCGCTGGATCTTCGATTCCATGCCGCAGCACGACGTCGTCTCGTGGAACGCGCTCCTCGCAGCGTACGCCCAGGCTGGTGATCTCGATCACGCCGCGAAGATCTTCTCGTGGGCGATGCCGGAGAGAGATCTCGTCTCCTGGACAGCGATGGCCGCCGCCTATGCCCACGCCGGCTTCCCCGACCGCGCGTCCGCGATCTTCGACGCCATGCCGGAGAGGAATCGCGTCTCGTGGGGCGTGGCGCTGGCGGCACAAGCCCAACGCGGCGCCGCCCGCAAGGCGGTGGAGATCTTCCAGAGGATGCAAGCCGAGGGGATTGGGGCGGACGAGATCTCCTTCGATTGTTTGCTGCTGGGATCCAGCCACGCCGGGAGATTGCGCGAGGGCTGCCACTACTTTCGATCCATGGGTTTGGATTTTGGGATGGCCCCCAGCAAGCAGCATTTCCAGTGCGTGGTGAGCTTGCTGGGGCGGGGCGGCCACGCGGACGAGGCGCGGAGCTTGGTCTCGGCCATGCCGTACGTCCCCGACATTGTGGACTGCCGGTCGCTGCTGTCGGCGACCGGGGGACAGGGACTTTGCGTTGACGCTTGGAAGTTGGCCAGGACCCAACATTGACCAAGAAGAAACCCTCTCCAACTAAGTAGAGAGGGAACATACTCTTCCAAGATGTTTGGAATCAAAGACACTTCTTCACTGAGAGTAATTCGACATTTTCTTGCCTGAATTGAGAAGATAATCTACATTTCTTGGTGTCAACAGATTTCTTCACACTAAGCATTTCTTCTTTATAACCTAATGCAAAGATCCTGTTACTTATTGATGTGAACCAGAATAGTCGACAGATTTTTTGTAAGCAAAATTGACAGATCCAAGTAAGCAGAGACCTATGTGCAAAATGCTTCGCCCTGGACAGCACAAGAACGAGCTTAGCAAAAAAAAGAAAAAAGGGAAAAAAAAAGGAACAATCAAGAAAATATCTTACGTTTGAACCTATCGCTGGAACTTGCGTCACTAGTGGTTCCCAAGGCTCATGATCAGATTACATCAAATCTAGCCATAAGTAATAATGTACTATAAATAAATGTCTTCTTCATATTGCCTTGCTTTGTTCATTTTGTTTCATATCTAACTTTGAAAGGAACTTTGTTCTCTGTAGGATAGAGTACTATTCAGCAAGGCATCAAGAACGGTGGCAGCTGATATGTGGATACTCTTCTCCCAAGGAGGAAGAGTAATGGACTGTAAGATGATCTTTCAATGATTTCAGTAGTGTAATGCAAAATGCCTTCAGCCCTCTAGCAATTCTAAGAGTATACTAGGAGGCACAGATTGATTATAGGGTGGAGTGAGGATGTAAGTTATTGGTGTGCTTTTTTGGCTTACTTTTGGATTGTTCCATCTTAGTCCGAAGGCTGAGGATGTTAATAAGGAGCCAGATGGGCTACAAGGCCAGGGCATATCGTCATGGACAGGGGAGCCAAGCTGAATCCATTGTTAGCTTACTTGCTTGAGGAGCAGACTATGGCACTACTCAACTGTGCAAGGGAGTTGGTGATTGAGTGCAAAAGGTAGAAGTCTTTAGAAAGAAACCTGTATTTTCTGGGCAATTTCTACAAAACAAATGAAGAGAAAAAATTGATAGAAATTTATGGATTATAGCATATAATTATTTAAGTCTTAGAGAGTTCATTTGGCAATGGTTTTTCTTTTACAGCAACTAGTTGTTTTGGATCTAGTTGAGTAAGATAGTTTATTCTTGATTGGTATCCTAATAAAGGCAGAACAATAGTGACCAAAATGGTGGATGATTTAGTTCATCAATAGAGTCTAGCAAAATTTCTACTAACTTTAATTCATTGGGAACGTGTTAATCCAGGTAAACCCAAGTGGTGCTTAATTTGCCTCTTGTAGCCTCTGATTTGGACTACAAGAAGCAAATGCCAAAGTAGATTCAAGCTGAAGCATTGGAAGAGTTTCATAAGCACAAAACAACTATATTTTTGCAAGCTAAGATTAGGCATCACTCTCATTGCAGTCACGTCACACGCTCACACTTGCAATCTAATATCGCGTGGAAGCATCGTCGATCGTTGCAGGAATGAGAGTGGAGCACGTGCCAGGGACTTCCTGGTCCATCTCTTCAAGTGTGGATCTCGAGGACGAGCCTGTCATTTTCATGGTGACGATAATGATGGAGTTCTAACAATGCTGACCCAAAAACAACAAGCTTGATTCTTCGGCTTGACCCTGGGCACAAACTGGCAACATATTTGATGGATTTGCAGATCGAGCACCGAGTCGTGGTTTGCCGAGACGCGAGTCGATTCCATGTTTTCAAGGATGGAGTGTGTTGATTTTGGAGCTTGGAGGTAAGCATCGTTTCTTTTCTTACGGACTTTTCTCACGGCTTGGATTTGAACAGAGCTTTTACGATTCGTCACAACGGTAAAAGTCCTCCAAGTGAAAATTACGATTTTTCTACTAGAGACATCATAAAAATTCGTGATCAAGCACATGGAACTGGCGAAAAAGAGATGGATTTTTTTTCTTACCATGCACGAGCAATAGTCCAAATCAGAATAAATGTTTAGAATTTAACATTTAAATAGAAACCAAAATTGTTTTTTATCTTATTAATTCATGTTCTTTTATTTTTAAAATATCATATAATCTAAATGAATTTAATCATAAGTGGCTTTAGAAACATCTTTATGCCTTCTTTGTGTCAGGTGATAAGTGTTCTAATCTACCACTTTCTAGAAGGTTGTTTTTTCATAGAATATGATTATCACTAACCCTTTTTTATTAAGCAAAAAATTCCAAAATATTATAATTTTAAAGTTAATATTTTAAAGTTTATTACATTCAAAGCATTTAGAAAACAATCCAAAGCGCTCAACTTTGTGAAATAGACTATACATGCTTGCCCATGCACCAAAACCCATACCTACAATTGCCACCCATAGCACAATCCCAAGATTAATGCAGTAAACTCCCACCCAACTATTAAAAATCCAAATTGGAGGTTGTTCTATAGCATTCTGAAATTTCTTTAGTAGTTAACTTATTTGCTTATAAAAATTGTTTTAATTACCTCTCTTGATTCTTCATGTTGTCTAATAACCATAAATGCAACACATGGAAGAATATAAACTGCTATACTGGAGAGGAAAGATCCCACAACTGAGTTTATCGATCCAAAAAATGGTAGCATAAGTGCAAATAAACATATTATAAGCACAATGGGTATCCTTGCAAAATATTTTATAGTTTGGTTATTGGAGTGATGAATGCCTAGCATCTTTTCCCACATTGCAAAAACAGGAACTATAAATGCTGCAAACTCAATTATCTGCACAATAAAAGTTTGTGAATTACAATGTAAACTTAAGAAATAAACCTTTTGACCTGATGAGCTAGCATGAGAATTACTGCTATAGTCTTAAATTTAGATGGAGAAAAAACGGCAAGAGCATTTGGATGTTCAAGCATTTTATCTCCAAACCTCCAATATACACTTATTGCAGATGGTAATGTAAGTGTGAGAATATAGAGAATGGCATAGACATAAACAAACTTGAATTTTCTTGGCTGGTCCATAGCTTCTATTATCTCCCTTCATTGAAAGTATAGGCCTTTGTAAGGAAATATGATTTTGTTGATACTTACAGGGTTAGAGCATGACTGCCAAATGTGTAAATAATATTTGTAGTTCCTGTGAAGTACTCAACTGAGCTTGTTGGGCCTGTATGTACAGCATTCTGATGCTGCAAAGCAAACATTATATATTCCAGAGTTTAATTTTCAGAATCTCCTACCTTTTCAAAAAATAGTGCAGCAATTGTCATGTACCAAGCAGTGTAACTTGTCATAAAAACACCTAAGAACATCCAAAGGTGATAATTGCGAGCCATTCGAATGAATAATGTAGAGAAACATATAGCTCCAAAAATATATGTCCAAGTCCTTTTATCAAGGTTGTCATTTATGTACCATACAGTGCTGTAGTCCAATTTTAAGAATTATACAAGATCCTTATTAAAATACTCACTTCCCACAAGCTACCAACTGAATTGTTGCAGCACTCAACATCAGCATGCAGTTGAATAGCAAACCAAGTGCTTTCCACCATCGACCCAAAAGGGCTTCCAAAACTTCATACCACTGCCACCAAAGCATTTGTTCATAGAAGATCTTATGAGAAATTCATTCCTTTTCAGACCTGAATAATATGATTTTCTTTTCGTAATTTTTGCGAGTCTAATATCCAAATATAATCAGCATACAGGGATGTAGTCATATAGCAGCTCCAACATCCAAGAGCGCCATATAAAAGCTGAAATACCACTCCTGATGCCAGCCCCATTTGAGCAAAAGAGTGTGGGAGCGTAAGAAGAACTTGCGCTACCTACAAGAGTGAAGAAAAATTCCAAATCTACAAAGTAAAATGTGCTGTAGAGAAGCATTTACTTGCACAGTAGTGGCTGTGAGCCATGCATCAAACGCGGAGCCTCGCCGGAGGAAAACTCTACTAATCTGATCTTCCATTGCACTAGTTCTAGTGCTTCTATTTCCAAAGGATTCCATGAGAATGTAGAGTTCGGTATTGCGTACTCCCAAAGCTTATCGCTTTTAGAGCCCTTGCAGTCAAGTTCCAAGTCTTTTGAGGATATGAAAACGATTTGGCAGGCAAAGGACTTCCGTTTTGTCCAAATCAGATGACATCACAGACTCGGAATTCAAGTCAAGAATTTTACGTTGAAGGATTGCCATTTTCGAAGGAACAAACTAGAACAAGTCAAGTGTACAAAAACGTGAATTGTCGCAAGCACAAAAATCCTTGCGTCCTGCCGCAAGGAATTTAAACCTTTGATCGATCAGTGCGTCTTTCTTCGTTGTCTGGGTTTCTCTGTCATGACCTTGTAGATCCAAAATGCCTGCTTGGACGGATAAACAAAAGAAAGAAAAGATAGCCAAAGAGCTTACAAATGCGAGAAGATGCGCCACGACGAGCGCCACAACGAGGAAAGGAACGTATCTTACGAGCGTGGGATTGTCCGCGGCAGCATGGCGATGGAATCTAGCACTGCTCTTGAGCTCCATTTTTCCGCCCCAAAAGCCCTAGCCCTCAGTTAAAATGCCCTAAACTCTAAAATGCATGGAGAGAATTATCGTCAAAAGAAGAATAAACTGAGTAATTTAGAGCCGACGAGTTGATCGATCCCACACGATTCCTCTCACGCTTCCGCCAAGGCGTTAAGTCCGACCTCCTCATGCCGACGAGCACGGAGATGCAAAACAGTATGAAGACGAAGGCGAGCACCGCAACGACCGGGAGCAGCACTAGTCCTGATGCCACTGCCGCTGCTCCAAAACTGCCGCCGATCCTCAGGCGCGAGCTGCTCTCGCTGCAAATGCTAGCGCCGGGGGTGATGCCCAAGGGATCCAGGCAAAGCAAGCTCCGCCGGTGCTCCCACAAGGATCGATCCACTTCCTGCTCAGTAACACCGCGACCTTCTTCGAGAGGATATGGAAAAACGCGAGACCGACGCGTCCCTCGCTGGCGATGTCGACCGGAGCTGCTTCCAAATTCGAGACCAACGCGTCCCTCGCTGGTGGTGTCGACCAGAGCTGCTCCTGCGACGCTGGTTGAGGAGGGGAGTCCCATTCTCGCCACTTCTTCCACTATCTCGGGAAGAGCTGCAACCTTAAGAGTCGACAGAGCTGCTGCTTGAACACCATCCTTGAGAGTCGACCGAATCACTGCGTGATCGACTTTTCCCACTCCTGCTGGATAAGGGAGAGCCAACGGTTGACCACCACTCACGGCTAGAGATGGATCTTTTCCTGTGCAATCCGGTGAGTCCGAGCTAGTTGAGGATGGGAGTCCCAAGGTGGCGGATCCTTGACACGCCAAGGTGGCGGAGACTCCATTCTCGCCGCTTCTTCCAACGGGAGTGCCAAGGTTGGTGCTGCTAGAGATGGATCTCATGACACACCAAGGTGGTGGCGACTCCATTCTCACCACTTCTTCCAACTCGGGATCCGGAGTGCCAATGTTGATGCTGCTAGACTAGAGATGGAAACTTCGCAGCTCTCATGACACACCAAGGTGGTCTCGCCACCTCTTCCAACTCAGGATCCGGGAGTGCCAATGTTGGTGGCTGCTTGTCATGAGAGTATCTAGAGTATCTCTCAGCGCGCTGGCTTATACACAAAAACAAAAGCAAAAACCTGCAAGAACCGAGGCAGCTTGAGAATTATGACGAGTCGATAAACCACCTTAAAAATCTTGCTCATTGTTGAAGTAGTTAAAAAGTACATACTTTTTACTCTTATGTTGGATACTTTCAGCTAGAATGCTTTTACAAACTTTTTGAAAAATTTGGGACTCTCTTTTCGTCAGCATACAACACTCTTCTCTTCTACATCCGGTATGACAACATCGCTCCTCATAAAAGGCTTCCACTTCACGGGCACCCGAGCACCTGCTTGCACACACAGCTCCACCACTGCGGGTGCCTGTCCATAGTACCGCCGCAGCTCCGGCCGCAGAGCCGGGCTATGGCCGCTCGGGACGTGCCACACGAAATTCGGAGGAAAGATATCGCTCAGCGCGGCCTCTTGCCACCCGTGCTTGCCATCCCGCTGCTGGTGCTTGAAAGCTCCGCAAATCTTCACCCGGTGGCCGCGAGGCCCGACGTGGATCTCGGGACAGTAACCGCACGCCTTGACAACGTACTTCTTCATCATCAGCTGGACCCCCTTCCTCACCGTGTGGAACGCCTCGATAGTTCTCTCGGCCGTCGCCACTATCTCGTCTCTTGCCGGATCAAAAACTCTTCCCTCCAGGAAGCTCTCTTCACTACCTTGGGCCTCTTCTTCGATTCCGCCAACTTGGTCTTCTTCTTCTTCTTCTTCTTCTTCTTCGTCTTCTTCCCTGTTAGTGGTTTCCAGCTCTTCGTCCCCATCCTCGGCTTCGTTCGGCTCCCCAAAGATGGTGTTGTCAGTCCCTGGCCTTAGCATCTTGCGGACAAATCTCCCTTCCTTGGTCGAGTCTTTCCTGCCCGCAGTGTGCCCGGAATCGCCAGGAAATCCCGTATACGGCTTGAGCAGCCGGGACTCGGCAACTTGAGCTCGGCCGCTGCCGACCTGCCTGCCGGATATCCTGGCCCATCTCACCACCGGATAGTCCGGATGCTCGTAGCCAGCTTGGATGCAGAGCTCGGTGATGGCACACAGCCTGGGAACCGAGAACCTTTGCTCGTGGATGATCGGAGACGCCAGCCTATCCAGGATGTGGTAGCACTCTGTTGGAACGAGCACGTCCGGGGGATAGGCTTTTATCCACGCGTGAGCGCCTCGCCGTGAAGCACAGCCGGAGCCTTTGCAAGTTCTTATCAGGTGGCCGGACGCTCCAACATGGATGTCTTTGCAGCAACTGTGTGAAGATCACTGTGTCAAGACTTTAGAAATGACTACAAAGCAGAGACGAGAGACGAGAGACTTACCTGCAAGCTTGCACCGGAACAACTTCCATGAGTTTCTTCACCCCTTCTTCCAGGATTCCGAGCTGCTTCATCACCTCGTACGCCACGGGAATGAGGCGCTCCACGAGCATCCCGTTGCGTGGAGCGTCCCAAAAGTGTGGTATCAGCCCCAGCTTCTTCCTTCGTCGGCTCTCCCGGAGGACGAGCTTGATCGGCCTCACGTATGGTCTCTTCTTGTTGGTCGGGAGAACCGGCGGTAGATCGAGGTTCTGCGGGAACACGTACTCTGGGACCGAGTGGAAAACATCCTTCGATCCGGGAGAACTTTGCTGGCACATTCTAACGGAGTAGAGTCTGGAGATTTTTCTTCCTTTTCCGATGGTCTGGATCGAGAAAACAGAAGAACAAGTGAGGCAAATGCAATGCAAAGCTCTCGAAATCTTCAATCAGAACGAACGCATCGCATTTTCACAAGGAGAAGCGCCAAAATCAGAGGCACTCACCTGAAATCCAGGCGCGCAATGCCGCTGAGAGGAAATCCGGCTCCGAGCGCCTAGAAACGAGCACGGGCATCCGCTGGCCAGGGCCGCATTGCTCTCCCCCGCCATAGCCAGTCACTATAAACCCTAAATAAATCTTTTCTATGCCCAGGACAAAGCATCCACTCCCGGCAAAGAAGCAAAGGTACTTGATCAAGAGATGGGCAGTGGGCGCTCTCCAAGATAGAGCCAAGTTTATCTTCGACAACATCGAATCCACCAGGTAGTCTTCTCTCTCTCTCTTTCTCGCCATTCTCACTCCATCTCTTTTCATCCAGACAAATGGCCCGGTCTTTGAAAAGTCTGCTGGACGAAGCGATCGAGCTCGCAAGAAAAGGCAAAGGATAGCAAGATCATCGCTTACTCGCAAGCTCCAAACCAAAGAAAAACCAATCGCTATCACTTGTACAAGTAGGTAGTGCTAGAAACTAGAAATCCAAACCTTCGAGCGATCGTTCTTTAGTGGACGATGTGCTCCAGCTTCTTCGGCCTCTTGTAGTATTTGAGTAGCAGCGACGAGCACACGACGCTCACGGACGAGGCCGCCATGGCAGCTCCAGCGATCCATGGTGGAAGCCGGAACCTCGCGGAAGGATAGAGCGCTCCAGCCGCGATTGGGATTCCCAGGACGTTGTATCCCAGAGCCCAGGCGTAGTTGAGTCGGATCCTCGAGAACGTCTTCCTGGACAAGTCGATGGCGGTGACCACGTCCTCGAGGTGGCTCTTCATGAGAACTATGTCCGCGGCCTCGATCGCTATGTCCGTGCCGGCACCAATGGCAACTCCAACGTCCGCGGCAACCAGAGCTGGGGAATCGTTGATACCATCTCCGACCATTGCGACCACCATGCCCGCGCTCTAAAGTTTCAAAACCAAAGCTTTAGTCTCGAGCTTGGAAAGAGAAATGGCCAACTTACTTGCAACTCCTTGACTCTCTCGGCCTTGGCTTTTGGATCGGCCTCGGCGATCACGTCCTCCGTCCGGATACCAACCTCTCGAGCAACCGCGAGAGCTGTGCCTCGGTTATCTCCAGTCACTATGATGGTCTTGATCTTCATCAGCTTGAGCATGGAGATCACTGCCGGTGCCTCTGGTTTGATCGGGTCTGCTATGGAGATGATGCCCGTGAGTTCCCCGTCGACTGCAACCAGCACCGCCGTCCTGGCCAGCACTTCAACGTCCTTGAGCTGCTCTGAGGCTTCCAGAGGAAGTGAGACCCCGTTCTCAGACATGAGTTTTTGGTTCCCAACCAGCAGTCCTTTTCCCATCACAACTGCTTGAATTCCCTGTCCAGGGATAGCTTTGAAATCCTCCACTTGCTGCTGCTCAAATGGTTCTTCTGCGCTCAGACCTTTTGCAAACTCGACTATTGCCTTGGCTAGGGGATGCTCGCTGTTGGTCTGTGACAACAAAACCAAACATGTTAAAATACTTGTCGAGACGGAAACACATCCCTCGTACCTCGGCACTAGCAACGATCGTAAAGAACACCTTCAGAGCAATGTTCTGAAATAGCTTCGTGTTAACAACACTCGGCTCTCCCTTCGTAAGTGTACCCGTCTTGTCGAACACAATGCAGTCAACCTGAAAATAAACAGCTCAAGTACAACTCTCTCGGACGTGAACTACTTACGTTGCGTGCCATCTCCAAAGCAGCACCACCTTTGATAAGAACACCTTGCGTGGCTCCTTTTCCAGTTGAAACCATGACAGCAGTAGGCGTAGCAAGCCCCAGAGCGCAAGGACACGCAATGACCAGCACAGCGATGCCGAATTGAAGTGCCAGTTCGAACTCGTCCATGCTCGATGGGATCCAAGACTTGGGATACCAGCTAGCTTTTCCAGCAGCAAACCACAGACCCCATGTTAAAGCTGATGCAAGAACAACCTGAAAGAAGTAAAAGAAGACCATCAGTCACACAACAGCGAAACATATACACGTACCATGGGAACGAAGTATCGAGATATACGATCAGCGAACTTCTGAACGGGAGCTTTGGCCATTTGTGCCGCCTCCACCAGTCTAACGATCTGTGCAAGAGCCGTCTCGGATCCAACATGAGTTGCCCGTACGTGAAGCACCCCGTTTTCGTTCATAGTCCCACCAATGACTTTGTCTCCGCCGTGTTTTGCAACCGGTCGAGCTTCACCAGTAATCATGCTCTCGTTTACGTGACTCTGTCCCCAAGTTACCTCTCCATCCGCTGGCACTTTGGAGCCAGGCAAGACTTTGACGATGTCGTTTCGTTGTATGAGCTGCGTACTTATTTCACGCTCGGAAACAACGGTTCCTCCCTCGTCCACCGTGAGAAGGATGGCCGTATCCGGCGTAAGACTCATGAGTTTCGCAATGGCCTCCGACGTTTTCCCTTTGGCCAGAACCTCCAGGAACTTCCCCAGCAAGATAAACGATATGAGCATGGAACTCGTCTCGAAAAAGTCCGTCCCTTCGAAGGAATGGGACGTCGCAGATCGTAGAACAGTGTAGACCGAGTAGAAGTACGCAGCATTCGTTCCGAGAGCTATGAGAACGTCCATGTTGGCCGAGCCATGTCGCAGCGCATTGTAAGCCCCGACGTAGAAACGCCACCCAATGATGAACTGGACTGGTGTAGACAAGACCCAGCGCAGTATCTGTCCGATGGACAACATGTTGATCACCTTCTTCTCGATGTGTCTCTTGATGCCCGGAGTGTACATGAACACCATCCCCAGCAAGAACACCGGAACCGTGAAGATTATGCTCCATAAGAAGAGGTTCCAGTAGTGCTTGATCTCGGTCTTCATATCCGGACGACGGTCTGCTCCCATAGCCAAACGAGCTTTGTACATATTCGCCGGTCCCGTCTGCTCGATGATCTCTATGAAACATCGCGGTCCTGTTAAGTCCGGGTCGTAAGAAACCACCACTCTTTCCTCCGTAGGGAAAAGCTCCACCTCCGTCACCCCAGCCAAAGCCTCGAGCGAGGTGACGATGTTTCGAAAGCCTTCCTGCGAATGCACCCCTTCCAGCTGCAAGTGGACCTTGTTCCTCTCCTCTCCGGCGCTGATCAGCTCGGCCTCGAAGCCGACATCCTCCACAGCTTCCATAAGTTTCGCGCAGCTCACCACTCTGGGGTCATGGAGGATCTCAGCCTGCTCGGTGGCGAGAGCCACCACCGCAGTCTTCACCCCCTGGATCTTCCTGAGCGCCGCCTCGATCGAACCCGAGCACGACGTGCAAGTCATACCTCTGACACGGAGACGACACACTGTGGTCGACTGCTCGACAGGATCTTCCAAGAGGGCCGCGTCAAAGCCAGCGTCGACAATGGCTTCGCGGATAGTCTCTACCTGGGAAGTGGGAAAACAGGACAACGACGACTTTTAGATCGAAAGAAAAGTTCTTCGCTTCTAAAGAATAAAGAAAGAACTTACGTCAACGAAAGCTGGGTGAAAGACAACCTGGGCCTTCTCTTGGATCACCGCCACCGCCGCCTCTTTGATCCCCGGGAGTCTTTTGAGAGCCTTTTCGATAGATCCAGCACAGGCAGTGCATTCCATGCCGGTTACCTTGAAGGAGACGCTCTGGATTTGCGCGGCGTCGATGTCGGGCCTGGGCGGCGAGGGAGGATACCTCGGCATGGATGGATAGCGAGCGGGCAGGAGCACCGCCGCCGGATCGGGCGACGGCGATCCGTCGATCGCCTTGACAAGAACCATGTCGATGCCGCGATTCGACATTGCGAGACCTGGGATCGACGAGGAATTGAGTGAAATTCAAACAAGAAAGCCTGTGATTATACAATACCCTAGGCGCTCCAAGATCGAAGAGGAAAGGATGAAGGGAATGCGAGCTTGCGATTGCCAGTGACAGCGCCTGCGCAGCGCCACCGATCAGTCAATGCGATGCGATCATGCGTGAGCAGATGCCGGGAGCTTTGCGTTTGAAAAAACCCTCGTCCCCAATCTCTACCGTCGATTTAAATGGGCCACGTGTCCTCATTTTTAAAAACAAACGCTTAATCTATTTTAACTATTATATTTTAGTGCCAGTTTTGACTTTATTGCAAGCTCCAAAATCTCAATGTCTACGAATTATGCCCAGAATGGGCATCTAGAAAAGATCGAGTGCGTGTGTGTGCCCGCAAATCCAGAAGATACCATTTCATGGAATAAAGTTTTAGCCGCTTATTCTAGGAACGGGAATATACGAGGGGCGGAGATTTGTTTTAATTCCATTCCATATAAGAGCATAGTATCGTGGAACACAATGCTCTCGGCATATGCCCAAGAGAGGCATTTTCTTAAATCGAAGCATCTTTTTGATGTAATGCCGGATCGGAATGAGGTTTCGTGGAATGCGATGTTGGCGGCCTATGCAGAAAGTGGGGATTTAAATGGAGCAAAGGATATTTTTGATAAGATGCCCTTTTGGAGTGTAGTTTCTTGGAACTCGTTGATATCGGCATATTCACAAAATGACCAGTTCAGTGAGGCTAAATCCCTATTTGATAAACTTCCAGATCTGAGTGTGGTTTCATACAACACTATGATTTCAGCCTATTGTCGAAACTGTGATGTTGAGTCAGCCAAGATTCTCTTCGAACAAATGCCACAAAAGAATCTAGCATCTTGGAACTCCATGCTTGCAGCATATTTCCAGCTTGGGGACATTCCCGCAGCATCAGAAACCTTTGACGCAATGCCAGAAAGGAATCTTGTATCTTGGATAACAATCCTTCAAGTATATACCCGTGCTGGGCATCTAAGTGGAGCTAAACAAGTCTTTGACTCAATGCCTCACAGCACTGTTCTCGCTTGGAATATACTTTTGCAAGCTTACTGTGAGGCACATGAATCACGGGCAGTTCTCCTTTTTAGACAGATTCCTCAATGGGATCTCAGGTCCTGGAATATACTCCTTGCAGAATATGCCCGAAAAGGGCATATCTATCAGGCTCAGGAAGTGTTTGATTCCATGCCTGAGAGGGACATTGTTTCATGGGCGGCATTGCTCCACGCATATTCTCATGCGAACGAAATAGATACCGCCAAAAGGGTTTTTCACTCTATGCCCCAACATGACATTGTCTCATGGACTACATTGTTAGCAGCCTTAAACGAAAAACAAGCAGAGATCACATTCTTTGAAAATATGCCCGAGTGGAATTTAATCTCTTGGAACATCATGCTGGCTTCCTACGCAAGGAGTGGCAACGTGATCAAAGCGAAGACTATGTTTGACCGGATGCCCAGTCAAAGCTTAGTTGCGTGTACGTCTATGGTCACCGCATATTCTCAGAATGGTGACTTAGAGATGGCCAAATCCACGTATGATAAGATGCCCATACGTAATGCCAAAGTAAGTAATGCTTTACTTCACGCTTTTGTAAGAAGTGGATGTATAGAGGAAGGCATGGCTATGTTCAAATCGATGGTAGATGTGAATTTGGTATCATGGACAATAGTTCTGGAGATGCTCGTCGGGTCAGGGAATCTTCTCGAGGCTCATGGCATTTGGGAGGATATGCCCGAGAAGGGCATGTTTGCATGGAATATAATGCTGAAAAGGTATGCCCAAGCCGGGCTAGCGAGCCAGTTCTTTGAAAAAATGCCAATGAAAGATCTAGTTTCGTGGACGACGATGGTGGTCACGCTTGGTGGGAAAAGATCGCTGGAGCCCTTCAGGAGGATGGAGCAAGAGGGCTTGGAGCCGGATACTACGAGCTTGTTGAGCGTTCTAGGAGCTTGTAGCCACGAAGGAATGCTCGAACAAGGGTGCTGCTTCTTCCGGTCCATGGAAAGCGATTACGGGATCACTCCTCGGCAGGAGCACTACTGCTGTTTGATCGACATTCTCGGGAAGTCCGGGCACACGGAGCGGGCCGAGGCCTTGATCCAAGCGATGCCTTGGCTGGCGGACGGAGCTTCCTGGGGGGCGTTTCTTGGAGCGTGTAGATTGCACTCTAGAGTCACGCAAGGGATACGAGCTGCGAGGGGACTTCACGAGGTGGATTATGATGATCCTGCCTCTCACTTGCTGGTGATGGATATGATCCTACATTCAAAGAACTGAAGAGAAACGAGCTTGGTCGAGAGAAAGAAATGGTAAACACTGACCAAGTTTGGAGCTATCGGTTAAGATGCAGCGTGTTGGAGATCCGTCCGAGCTAGTGAACTCAACCTTGACATCGTGGACTCTGGAATGTACATGCTACACTGCCTCCCTCTTCCTGTAGCTTTAGCAGCTAGAGCTGTGTTTCTCAAGCGAAGAGTATTCACATCTTCACTGAAAACAAATTAAAACTATATTATAAAAGGGATTTTCCACAAAACTTTTCCATGTGAATTAAAGTTTTGGATTATTTCTAGTTGAAAAAATTATGATTTGAAAGAGTGAGTACCACAGTTGACCCAAAACCATTCAGAAGTGATGCTTTTAACTTTCTGTAGACATCCTGATGATACATACAACCGCATTTGGATGTCCAACTTGTTGTTTTCCACTTTTCATGTGTGTAAAGCGGTCGAGGTGCGATCAAGCTCGCCACTGCTGGTGCTGTGCAGTATCTTGTGGCGGACAGTCGTGCCATATGGAGAGTTGACTGGGGTTTCTGGCAGCGGTGGTGGTGTGTGTGGTGCACACGGGGTTCATGAATTCTTCTTGCAACAAGATCTTATTAAGGTGAGAAAAAAAGAAAGATTTTGTAACTAGTTTCATAAATCAATATGGTCTAAGGGTGGTTAAAGACAAAAGGGGATAGATATGGATTTCCATGAGAGCTGTTTATGCCCTATTGTTTTCTTTTTTGCCCTTTAGCTCATTTCAAAGGATTTTGGCTACATTAAAATGTAATCGAAATTTTTTAAATAAGTTAAACAAAATTTTATATTACTAATAGCTAAAAAATATTTGAAAGTAAAATTTTCTAAATATATTTTTAATAAAGAATATTTTTAAATAATAATAAATAATTTCAAAATTAAAATATATTAAGTTACCTACATAATAACTGATATCTAAAATAACTTTTATTACAATTAAAAACAGTGAGATAAATATTAAATACATTTACATAAATAATACATGTTATAATTGCAATTGCAACAATTTAAAATAAAAAAAAAACTACAGAAAAAATTTAGTCATAACACAAATGTTATAAATTAATGCCGAATAGAATTAGAATATTTAATTAATTATTTTACATGGAAGAATCATCAAAAGTTTAATTTGATATCAAAAAATAAAAATATTAATAAAAATTATAAAATTATCCTTTGTAAATAAAATCAATTAAATTTACAAAAACTATTCACTAAATATTTTTTATTTTATTTAATTTTATTAATAACTTTTGCTATTTGTTATTAAAAAATACTTTTATTTTGTTAAGAATTTTGGTTAATGAAATTTATGTATATTGAAATGATTCTATATTTTATCAACTTTAGTTAACATATGAACGACAAAGCTTTAATGATTCAATTGATTTGGTACCATGTGGGCTTTAGAAATGGAAAGTAAATTACCCAAAGGTGATCATCAATATAGCCGGCAAGAGTATGGAGAGCTGTCACAAAATCAGTGTTTGAGATTATTATAATTATTCTCATAATTTATACAGAAGAGAGTGATATATAGTCATCTAGTGTATCATAATTTAATAGCCTACAAAATAAGAATCATAAATAGTGTTTGCAATTAACACATTTATAAATTTGATTAAATATTTTAGTTAAATTATTTTACTGGGAAATATAAAAAAAATTATTTACATAAGATAGGCAATTGAATGTTATAAAAATATGTTTATATCCCTGATATTAACTTATTTCTTTATTATAATATCCCACATATGTTTAAGTTTTTATCTTGACTAATATTTTATTATAAATAAATTTATTGAGATATAGTAAGTGAAAACCTGAAAATTTTAATTTTATGAAAGTTATAGAAGACTTAAATGGATAATTTAAGTTATCTTTTATGGATACAATAATCACTTTATTGAATAACAAGTTCAAATATAGATATTTTTATAAACATCCCTTTTAACTATAATAGTATATACATTTATAATATTTTATTTATTTGATTTTGATAGAAAAATATACTTGTAAGGTTTGTAAATACATGTATGTATATACATGTATTACCATAGTTAGGTAATACACTAATTATAGCACTATAGCATATGGACCATCCATTTGAGATTGAATCTGATCTATCCATTCTTGTATATAAGTAGAATCTAAACCCCAATTAATATACCTATTTTTATATCCTGAACACTCACATTGGTGGAAATGAAAGGCACTACAATTTATCTCTAAAGGGCAAAGTTTTTTGGCAGTGCTTTGCTCTAGTGTTGGGATTGTGCTTTTTTATTTTTATTTCTCCATTCTCTTTTAGATCTAGATCTATATTAACTTTTTGCAAGATCTAGAATTTTAGCTATTATTGTGCTTAGATCTACTCTTTCTTTTGATATTCATTGCATTCCCTTCTTCCACCATGCCACACTGTTATCGATCAAAGAGTATGTCACTTGAGGTTGCTAATGTTGCTCCATTGGATCAAACTTTTAGTGTTGTGGGGTGTGATCATATTGATGTTATACCCATCCTTGATGTGTTGCCATCTCTAGCTTTTGTGGGACGTGATTACACAGTTCGTCCTATTCTCGGTGTTCTGCCATCTCCTGTTGATGTGGAATGTGATTGTAATATTGATTGGCGAGCTATAGATGATGCAATCCAATTTTTGGAGAATGTTCGAGGATCAAGTTTATGAGAAGGTGACGTGTACGAGCTCGAGTGGATTCCAGAGTGTGATGATAAACTTGATTATTATACAAATAGCTTTGGAGATGAAATGAAAATTTCATGGGGTAGATGTCAATATTTCAATTTGCCATATGATCCTTTCTCTTTTGCTCTTTCCTAACCATTTTTTATTTCTTGGCTTGAGCCACCTCATATTCTTAGTATTTCTTTCTCATTTACAGTGTTTTCTTTTCCTGGCATGTCAATCATTTGTGACTCTCATGATTCT